ATTTTATAATTTTGAATTTTGATAATTTGTAACTTATTTGAAATTGATAAATTTAATTTTATAATTTATAACTCCAAATAAATACTTGTAAAAATTACTTTGCAATTAAATTAATAAAATAATAAATATTGAAAATATAAAATAAAAGTTATAAAAAAATAATTATTAAATACAAAATATAATAATTAATAAAAGAATAATGAATATTATATAATTAAATACTTGATTAAATAATTGTATAATATTGTTATTTCTGAGTTAATGAAATTAATGATAAATTATTATTATTATAAATTTGAACTTGGAATAATACTTAACTTGAATAAATGGAAGTAATACTCAAGGATAATAAAACTAAAAGATAATTAATAGATGTTGATATTAAAAATAATGATGAACTTAAAAAAATATTAGAATAAATTGGATAAAAGGTCTGATTCTCTTATTAAAATAATTGAATTAGTGATGTCTTCTAAAATAATAGAACAACAGTCTTACCTTTAGAAAAGAATTATAAATTTTTTAAAAGAACTGTTAAGTTACTTTACTAGTTTAACTTTAAGAGAACTAAGAATTACTAGTGATAACAATTTACAAATAATTAAAAAATAATATAAATAAAAATAAATATTAATAAAATAATGCATAAATTTGTAAAACAAAATAAAAAAATAAATTAATTAACATGTTTTTATCTAACAATTTTTTTTAAAACTAAAATAGATCTTTATTTATTTAAAGATTATATCAGGAAATTTAATTAGATATAGATTTATAGAAATATCACATGACTTCTAGAACTTTATATTTGAAAAATTTAATTTTTTAACTTCAGCTAAAATTTAGGTAACAGAGAGTGATTTTTTACTAAGATATTTTTAAGATAAATCGAAAGCCCTGGTTTTTAACTACAAGATAATATATATTTTATTACTATAACATCAATATTCATAGAGAAATTCATGTTTAAATTCAAATGTTCGTGAAAATTTATATCATAATTTTTTCGTAAATTTTTGTAATTCTGCTAGAAATTTTTGTGACATAATAAAAAATTTCAGCAGAATTATAAAAATTTACAGAAAAAGTATAGCATAAATTTTTATGGATGTTTGAATTTAAACATGAATTTTTATGGATGTTGAATTTAAATGTGAATTTCTTTGCAAATATTGATACTATAGTAATGAAATATATATCATCTTGTAGTCAAAAACTAGGATTTTCAATTTATCTTTAAAATATCTTAGTAGAAAATCATTATCTGTTACCTAAATCTTGACCGAAGTTAAAAAATTAAATTTTTCAAGTATAAATTTCTAAAGGTCATATGATATTTCCATAAATCTATATCTAATTAAATTTCTTAATATATAACTTTGAAATATTAAAAATATAATTTCAATATCATTTCTCATTAAATATCTTATGAATTTATTTAAATAATATTTAAATAAATTTATATAAATTCACAAATATATTTGTATATATTTGAATTGAAATTATTCAGATATATCTGAATAAAAATATTCAAATATATTTGAAAATAGAATAAATTTAAATATATATAAATATATTTACATAAATTTGTAAATTTATTTAAATTTTTTTTTAAATTAAAAAATATCCAGATATTTTTGTCTTTAAAAATTTTTTGATATAAATGCAAATTTTATAAATTTAGTAAAAATGTTACAGAAATTTTTGTGAAATATTGTAAAGTATTGTGAAAATTTTTGTGAAATATTATGAAAATATTGTAAAATATTGTGAAATATTATGGAAATTTTTGTGAATTATTGTAAAATTTTTTTGTACAAACTTCTGAAAGTGATAAAAATTTATAAAGTTAAAATTTGTACAATTTTTCACCTATTAAAATTTTTTGATGATATATAGTCTATATATATTAGAAAATTTTTGAGGATAAATATATCTAAATATATTTGATCACTTATATATTTATCTACATAAATTATATTAATCTACATTAATTCATATTAATTCATATATTATATTAAATATATTTAGAATTAAATAATTTTAATAAAATCAAAAATAAACACCTTAATAACAAAATTATATAAAATATAAATTGATGACTGAGTCAGAATATTTAAATAAATTTGTAAATATATCTGGATATACTTTATTTTTACTAATTGCAAATAAATTTACATATATTTGTTTTTGAAAATTTTTTGATATAATTTATTGTTATAAAAATATATTTTTAAGTAAATTTCTTGATAAATCAGATTCAATTAGATCCAATTATATAAAGAACAAACTTCGAAAAATATATTTGCAGAGTTTCATGACTATTCATTTAGTTAATCAATTCAATTGAGTTTTATTGTAAAATGAATATAGATAGTTGTGTAACATGTCGATCAAAATTTAGACTTTGTATTTACAGCTTTAAAATGTAAATAAAATAAATTTATATATTTAATTTGTTTAATTTACAATAAATAAATAATAATATAATTTTAAAATATTTTTTCACAGCATTATAATTTTGTTTTATTTGTACAATAAAAAAAAAGGTTTACTATTAATTAATTATATAAACAAACAAAAATCAAAAAATTGATTTTTTTAAATTTATAAGATTTATATATAAAAAATTTAAACATTCTACAATTTAACTTTGTTTACCATTTTTTAGGGTTAAACATAAACAACACAATTATAGCCACAATGTAATTTATTCCACTATTATATACTTTCATATACGTATATACGTTAATTGTTAAGAAAAAATAACCAAAATTAGAAAAAATTTCAAAATTTTGATTTCGAAAATAAAAGAACTTACTGGTTCAAAATTTAACGAGTTGTGTACGTAATAAAATAACAAAATAATAAAACACCAATCACAAATTTTAAAGCTCATATAAACACGAGATAAAAGGGGGGCTTTTTTTTTGTTCAGTACCCCATTAATAAAATAAACAGATGATGGACAAGTTTTTTTAGCGATAATATTTTGTCTTGAATAGGAAATATTATTGTGTCCAATCATATTTTTCCCAGAAAAAAATTTTATATAAATTCTCTTTGCTCCTTTGGTCGTGGCCTCTCTCGCCTTTCCTTTTCTTTATAATATACCTTTGAGACAGTGTTCCAACAAAAATAAAAAATAAAAAAAATAAAAAAAAACCAAAAAAATATATTTTCACGCCTTTACTGTCTAATAAAAAAAGAAATAAAAAGCCTTATATAGGTTACTTTCTAGATTATAAAATTTATTAAAGAATCTTTACTATCCTTTGTTACGAATCCCTTTATCCCTAAATACCGCAATCCACCATCATGTCTGCTGCAGTTTCCTCTTCCACCTCGACCGCTCCTGTACCCAGCTTGACTAATTCTGGTTCGCAACTTTCCGTTGAACAGCAACAACTTGCTGCTCAAGCTGCGGCAGTCCAATTCGGCGTTCCTCCTGCAGCACCTCAGGCCTCTGCATCGCTTTACGTGGGTGAGCTGGATCCTTCCGTAACCGAAGCTATGCTTTTCGAATTGTTTAATCCGGTTGGGCCAGTTGCTAGGTAAAAAGAAATACTTTAATGCTCTTTTTTAAGGAAGAAGAGGAAGAAAATTACTGAATCTTAATATTTTTTTTTTCAATCAGTATTCGCGTATGCAGAGATGCCGTAACCCGGAGATCACTTGGCTACGCATATGTTAATTTTCACAATGTCGTTGATGGTAAGTATTCCTTAGCGATGCATTTTTTGATCGCCGGAAATGTTTACCCTTCAAATAAAAGAAGCACCTTTTTTTTTTTTTTTAGCGAATATATCTTGTAGAGATTAAACAATAGCATTTTTATATAATAATGTTATCAAAAATAAAGTTTTAGAACTTGATTTCATTATTCTTTTAATTTTTTGACAGGCGAACGAGCTCTTGATACCTTGAATTATACTGTCATCAAAACAAAACCTTGCCGTATCATGTGGTCTCAACGTGATCCTGCTCTTCGCAAGACTGGCACTGGGAATATTTTTATTAAGAACCTTGATAAATCAATTGATAACAAGGCCCTTCATGATACATTTTCGGCCTTTGGAAACATTTTAAGTTGTAAGGTTGCCATGGAGGATTCCGCTTCTAAAGGTTTCGGCTTTGTTCATTATGAAACCGCCGAAGCTGCCGATAATGCTATTAAACACGTAAACGGAATGTTACTTAATGATAAGATAGTGTAAATAATTTTCTAGATAAATCATTTTATTTTTTGATAAGTTTTTCAATGTGAACTCTTTGATGTTTATTTTTATTTATTACTACAGATATGTTGGTCATCACATTCCCAAGAAAGAACGACAATCTAAACTTGAAGAATTCAAGTCAAAATTTACCAATATCTATGTAAAAAACTTGGATCTCGAAGTAACATTAGATGAATTCAGTGAACTCTTCTCCCGCTTCGGAAAAATTACATCCGCTGTTATCTCTACTGATGAAGCAGGTCACTCAAAAGGCTTTGGCTTTGTTAATTATGAGAATCATGAAGAAGCAGCCAAAGCGGTGAATGAACTTCATGATACGGACTTAAAGAGTAAAAAATTATTTGTAGCTCGTGCCCAGAAAAAACATGAACGCGAGGAGGAGTTGAGAAGACAATATGAACAAGCAAAACAAGAAAAACAAAACAAATACCAAGGAGTAAATTTGTACATAAAAAATCTTGAAGACGACATTGATGACGAAAAATTACGCCAAGAGTTTTCTGTCTACGGCGTTATAACGAGCGCTAAAGTGATGAGAGACGAACGACAACAATCCAAAGGGTTCGGATTCGTTTGCTTTTCATCTCCTGATGAAGCAACCAAAGCCGTAACCGAAATGAATGGCCGTATGATTGGTAATAAACCAATCTATGTTGCATTGGCTCAAAGAAAGGACGTTCGAAAATCACAATTAGAAGCTCAAATAAATCAAAGGAATCAAATTCGAATGCAACAACAACAAGCAGTAAATATATTTATTTTTTTTTATATTTGATATTTTTATTTTTGTATTTTAATTTTAATTATTATATAATTTTCCTTATTTTTAAGGCTGTTGGGATGGGGCCTGCAACTGCGTATGGTATGCCCGTTGGATATGCTACTCACCCAGGATCTTATGGAATGAGAACGAATCGCCCTACTCATTTCTATGGGCAAGTGTTAGGCGCAGTTCCTGGTTCAACTCCTAGTATTCGCACCAATAACTTTGGACAAATGGTTAATAATCGACCTAATGGTAGACCTCAAAACAACCCATCTCAAAATTCTGGACGAGGAAACCTAAATGCGAACCGTGGAGCACGAAATCAATATCAACCAACTTCTAAACAACATAATCAATTTGGACAAAATAACCGTGTGAGTAATGGCCAAGGTTCATCAAATGCTCGTAGCAATGCATCTTCCTCTCAAGGAAATGCTGCTTCTGTAGGCTCGGTATTTGATACCCGTAAACTTGTTGGAGTTTCACAAGAAACTCAGAAGCAGTACCTTGGGGAACAACTTTTCCCTAAAATTTCATCCCGTCAATCAGAGTTAGCCGGAAAAATCACTGGAATGTTGTTAGAAATGGACAATGGAGAGTTGTTGCATTTATTAGAAAATCCGGGAGCTCTCGATTTAAAAGTAAATATGTTAATAATAATTTAGAAGTAATATATTTATTATTTATCATCAAATCTTTAATATTTGAACTTAATTATTTATTAATATTTATAGGTCGAAGAAGCTGTTGCTGTACTAAGACAACATGCAATGGCCACTGGCCAAGATTTCCCTTCTTCAGATTAAAGTATGCTTTTTATCTACATAAACAAATTTTGTTATATAAATCCTAATTTATTATTACTTTATTGTTTATTAAGAAGATCGAATCGGAGAGAATATCAAAATATTAAGTGTTCATTTAATTGAAATTTTCATAATTTATAAATAATGATCATTTTATCCCTCTTTAATTTTTTATTCAATATATATATTTACCATAATGATTTCTTAAACATTATTATGTTCATTTATTGGAATTATATTATAATGTATAGAACAATATTTACAATATTTACGATATTAGTTTATTTGTTCTCCAAAATCGATTTATTTTTCGTCTTTTTATTCGAGAGCTATTCAAATCTTTACGTCCTTTATTATAATTAATATTGATGTCTTTTATTTTTTTACGTTTTTTTATCTATTTGGTTTTTTTTTTATAATAAATTTGTTGGAACATTTGTGCAAGGGCAATCAAATTATGTATAATTATTGTTATTGTCTTTCATTTATTATAAATTTTGCATAACGTTAATTGAAATTATGAATTATATGAATTACATAAAAATACGATTGGATGTTTAATTAGTAATGAGAATAGAAAAGAATTCTATTTGACAATTATATATTGAAGTTTTGAAGAAAATAATTGTAAGAGAAAATTAAGATAAAATTGAAACATATTCTAATATATTCTAATATGTTCCTTTCAAAGTAATTATTGAGAAACCATCAGTCAGTTTTAGAGTCCCAAGTATTCTACTGTAACCATACCCAATAACAATGAAATCATTCTGAAAGATAGAGATTACAACAAAACATTCGGACAAAATTCAAGTTTATCAGTTTATCATTGTATTTCATTGTATTTCATTGTATTTCATTGTATTTGATCATCCGGAAAATTTAATTTACCAACCCATTTATTCTACTCTTAGTAAAATTCACTTTGTTCATGTAGGAACCTCCAAATATAGGAAGTCACGTTCTACAGAAATTGTCTTATAAATGTAAGATCATTTCCCAATTATCCACAATTCGGAGTTTCGTGTTATTAAATCCAACCTTGCCCAATCAGAATTCTTGTTGATCAACCAATAAAGATGAACTTCCACAACAACTTCGACAACACCAAGTTCCTCTTCACTCATTCACTTGCTCTGATAAAAAAAAAAAAACGCGAAACTATTTAAAAGTAAATTCGTCTTTATACTTATGTTTTAACAATATTCAATCATAAAGCAATGAATTATAAGCGATAATTATTAATTTTTTTTTTGTGCGTTTGACGCGTAATTTGGTAATATTTAAAAGGTTTTAAGGTTTTTTTTCGTTAGTCATATAAAGTGAAAAAAATGCCAAGTGGAACACGTAACACACCAAATGATTCTGATAAAGAAAACGCGATGGATTCAGACAGAGGCGAACAAATGGAGAGTATCGAGACTTTACCTCACACACAAAACACACAGAACACACAAAACGCACAAAAACCCGAACAAGGATTTGGCTCGCAAACTTATGATCCCGATCAAGATAAAGACGAGAAACGTTGGTTACGTAGAGAATATAGAACTCTCTTAACTGAAACTGAAGGTATTTTTTTTTTTACTTTTTATTTTCTTATATATTTTTATTTTCAAAAAGGAATATTTTTATCAAATAATTTTATAAAAATAAATAAAGAAAGAAAGAAAATTGAAAATTATTTGTTGAAATGAGTTAAAGAATATTAATTAATCGTTTTAAAATTAAAAAATAAATAAATAAATAAAATAAAATTATAAAAAATTCAATAATCACAATAATCATAATTCAAATAGTGTATAACGATTTTAATTTCACAACTTATAGAAAATATGCAAGATTACTTAAGACCGGATTCAGATGGTCTTGCTCATAATTTAGCAAGAGCAAATGAATTAATACAAAAAGGTAGATATTATACAATAATTAATTAATTTATTTATTTCTTAATTTAATTTAATAATTTAATTTTAATTTAATTTTTATCAGTTAAAAATACACACGAGGCAACTCTCGATTCATCTCTTCTCGTGAAAACGAGTATTTTAGGAGTACAAAAAGCGCGTCGCATGAAATTGGATAGTAATGCTTTTGACGTTGATGATTATATTTCAAAGTTAATTACTTTGATGGGTGGACGTCAAATTGAAGAAGAAGAAGAAGATCCAGTTTTAAATTGGAAGTCAGTTGGAGATATTGCTTCTCGTTGTACTTTTCGTGTTCCCACAATGGAATTCATGTAAGTAGCATTTAATTATAGAATTTGAATATTTGATTTATAACATAATAATAAATATAATGAATAAAAATTTTAAGGCTTGGTCCACTCTCTATTGAACAAAAGGAACGTAGAGTTGGTATTAGAAAAGCTTTAGAGAAAAACAAGAAAGATATGACTATGCCTATACAAGTAAATTTATTATAAATTTAACAACTTTTTATAAATTGACCAAATTGACATTTATAATTTCCAAAAAATATTGAATATTTTATTATATATATATTTATAGTTAGGAGAAAAAGATATTGAGAGACAAGAGAATGAAACAACAAGAAATGTTAAAATGATTTGGGATATTCTTGACGAAAAACAACCAATAAATTTTTTTAAATTTATCATTAATCCAGAATCATTTGGACAAACTGTGGAAAATATATTCTACTTATCATTCTTGGTACGTGATGGTAAAGTAGATATTGATGACGAAAGTGGTCAACCTATTCTTTGTAAGTAAAAAAAAATGTCCTCTCCCATTTTATTTCCTTCATCCTTTCATCTTTCTCGACTGACAATAAATGTTTTTAATAGCACTATGTGAACCACCTACTCAAGAAGATTATAATGATGGACTGATAAAGAAACAACTTGTTTTAGGAGTAGATATGAAAATGTGGAAGGTAAATAAATTATTTATGATTAATAATTATAAAATAATCAATAAGATAGAAAGGCAAATAAGTATAATAGGTTGTATAATAAATAAATGAAATATAATAATAATAAATTTTTTTTAAAGGAATTAATTGAAGTATATAATATAAGGGAATCGGCAATTCCAACGCGACAATCTCGTGAACAGAATGCGAGTAAATGGTACGGTTAAATAATAATCATAAAACCATCGAAGATTTGCGAAGGATTTACGAAAGCTTCTCGATTGCTTTACTTTTTTTTTCACATTTACATATCTCCAAATATTTACTTATATTCTCTCTTTTAATAACAACACATTTTTCATGAAGTTATAAATTTCGATTAGTTACTGTATATAAATTGTTTACTCAAACAAACAAACAAACAAACATTAGTAGATAAATTCAACGAAAAATAAAAAATACCCGAAATATTATAATAAAAATTAATACTAAAAATTTTAAAGTTTTGCATCAAATATTTTGAAAAATATAATTTAAAAAAATATAATGATAATAATTTTACTTCTTTTTTATTCAAAAATGATTAGATGGATTAAATGGATTTATTACAATACAATATTATCAATTAATGTAATAATAATAATAATAATAATATCAAATTTGAAATAATAAAATAAATTAAATAAATAAAATAAAAATAATCTCTAATGTTTTATAATGTTTTTGGAATAAAATTATTATTAATGTTGTCATCTTTCATTTCTGGTGTGCCTTGATTAAAATTCGCTTCCTTAGGAATTAATCCTATTTGTGTAATATATATATATATATATATTTGATTAGAATTAATGCAATTAATTAAAGATAAATAAAAAATAAATAATAAATATAAATTTCTTTTACTTTACCTAATATTTTAAACATTTCTTGATCTTCATTAAAATCATTATTTTCAGTTGTTAATAATTTATCACCAGTAAAAATGGAATTTGCTCCTGCCATAAAACATAATGCTTGTTCTGCATGTGAAAATCTTATTCGACCAGCTGATAATCTTATCATAGCTTTAGGCATAATAATACGTCCTGTAGAAATCATACGAATCATTTCCCAAATTGATACAGGCTAAAAAATAATTTATTAATTAATTAATCAATAAATTTTATTAATTAATTTATTAATTAATTTTATTAATAAATTACAAACCTCTTGTTTTGCTAATGGAGTTCCTTCAACTTGTACAAGAGCATTAATAGGCACACTCTCCGGATGATGTGGTAATGTAGCTAATGTATGTAACATTCCTACTCGATCTTCAGGCTGTTCTCCTAATCCAATAATCCCTCCTGAACATACTGAAATACCTGCATTTTGAACGTTTGAAATTGTTCCAAGGCGTTCATCATATGATCGAGTAGTTATAATCTAATTAATGTAATATAATTAATATAATTGATATAATTAATAATCAATACAATTAATATAATTGATATAATTGATATAATTAATCATACCTTTGGATAAAATTCTCGTGATGTATCTAAATTATGATTATATGCTGTTAATCCTGCTTCTTTTAATGCTTTAGCTTGAGCTTCATCCAACATGCCTAACGTACAACAAACTTCCATTCCCATTGATCTAAAAAGAAAAAAAAGAAAGAAAGAAATGATAGGTGATGTTATATATATATATATATATATATTTTTTTTTTTTTTTTTTTTTTTAACGCGTAATTTAATATCACGTGATAAAGTCACATGAGTTAAATTTTTATATACCTAATTTCTTTTACGTATCCTAAAATTTTATTAAAATTAGATTTTCTACCACTTAAATCACGCCACGCAGCTCCCATACAAAATCTGAAATATTAAAATTTGGATTAATTAAAGAAAGAATATATATATATATATATATATATATATAAATAAAAATTGATAATCGAAAATTTACCTAGTACTTCCCACTTCTTTAGCTTTTTTTGCAGCAATTAATACTTCATCAGTATCTAGCAACTTTGTAGCTTTAACTATTGTTTTGTATTTAGATGATTGCGGACAATATGAACAATCTTCTGAACACCCTCCAGTTTTAATGCTTAACAAAGTACATTGTTGTACTGCGAGAGGATCATGATATTCACGATGAACTTTAGCCTATAAGTAATATACAAGCAAAAAAATCATTAATCATGATAACAAATCATTTATTATTTTATTATCATTCTTCTATTATTATTATTACTATTATTACTATTATTACTATTATTCTTATTATTATTCTTACTACTGTTATTATTATTATTATTATTATTATTATTATTATTATTATTCAATTCAATTCACGCGTAAAAATTGGTTTGAATTCTAAAAAAAAAACTTACTCCAAAATATAAAAGACTCATGATAGGAGAATCATAAATGGATTGTATTTCTTGTATAGTCCAATCATTTCTAACACGATTTCCTATAGCATACATTTCAGCTGCTGAAACTTCTGAAGGTGCTTTGGTAGGAACTTCTTGTGAAGTTGCATTATTTACTGAAGCTAACCTTCGAACTATCATATTTGAAGGACTTCTAATGGAACTTGAGATTCCATTTCGTATATTTCTTACGTTAATTGTGAAAAAACGGAAAGTATTATTCATGTTTAAAAATAAAAAATGAAAGATTAATGAAATTATTTATTTTGATTTTTTGATTTTTATTTTTTAAATACATAGTTTTAAAATATTTATTGATATGAATCCTAATCTGGAATTTTGATGTTAATCTATAAACTAAATAAATTATCCAATTTATTTATGTTACACCATCGAAAAATTAGATTTAAAAAAAGGAATAAACCCATGAAGCGATTTTTTTGATTTTATGATGAGGCTTTTTTACATAAAGTCGAAATTTCTTGAGTGTAATAACATAATTGATATTAATTTTGTAAGTTATTTTATTTCTTTAATAATTTTGTCTTTAATTATGAAGAAAATTATCAAAATTCTCCTTTTTGGTAGAATTTTATTCACAAGAAATTTTGGAATTTTGGGAAGTTTGGGAAATTTGGGAAATATGGAAAATTCGGAAATCAATTATTTAAAAAGAATAGAATTATTTATAATAACAACATTGAATCAAATGGAATAAATGGATTTAGATTTATTAGTAGTTCAACTAAGAATAATAATATGAATAATAATGTGAATAATAATATGAATAATAATCCAAATTTTTATATACATCATAAAAAATATTCGGCGAGAAATAAATCTTTGTTAATGTATACAACAGCAGTATTAATTTTTGGAGTAGGATTTACATATGCATCAGTTCCGTTATATCGAATGTTTTGTCAGTCAACAGGATTCTCTGGTACACCAATGACTAATAATTCTAAATTTAGTCCAGATCGCTTAGTTCCAACTCAAAATTCTCGAAGAATCAGAGTTACATTTAATGCAGATACTTCACGGGCTCTTCAGTGGTCATTTGTACCTCAACAACTTGATGTGCGAGTTTTACCTGGAGAAACTGCTCTTGCTTTTTATACTGCAAAAAATAAATCAAATCAAGATATTATAGGAATGGCAACTTATAATGTTACTCCTTCTAAAGTGGCTCCATATTTTAATAAGATACAATGCTTTTGTTTTGAAGAACAAAAATTGGAAGCTGGAGAAGAGATTGATATGCCTGTATTCTTTTTCATTGATCCTGAATTTTCTGATGACCCATTAATGAAAGATGTAGATACAATTACTTTGTCTTACACTTTTTTCAAGGTATTATATATATCAAATTACTTTATTAATATTTTTATTGTTTACTGAGTTTTATTTATTTTATCCATTTATTTATTTTATCCATTTATTTATTTTATCCATTTATTTATTTTATCCATTTATTTATTTATCTATTTATTTATTTTATCCATTTATCCATTTTATCCATTTATCCATTTTATCCATTTATCCATTTTATCCATTTATCCATTTTATCCATTTATTTATTTTATCCATTTTTATCCATTTAATTTAGGCGAGATATGATGATAATGGAGTATTAGTTCCAATTCCTGCTTGAAAAATGTAAAATACTTTTTCTGTAGATATAGAAATTGTCTAGTAAATGAAATTACTCTTTAAATCCTTAATTATAAAAAGAATTTTATATTATGAAAAGAAAGAATTTTTCATTTACTACAGTTTCTATATCGAAAAGTAAATAGTCTCTAAAGGTGATCACGTTTTTTTGCTGTTCGTTGATAAGGTCTTAAGACCCATTCAGTATCTGCGGTCTTTAGGTCCATCGTTCCTAATTTAATCTCATAGACTTTTATATAAAAAAAAAAATTAGATATTTATGTTCAAAAATATTAAAATTTTGATAAACTTTTACTCACGTCTCATTTCAAACCGCGGACCAACTTCAGCTAATTGTACTTCTTTATTATTAATCTTTACAAACACGTGGTGTCTTTAAATTGAAAATGATAATAATTAAAAAAAAAGGAATTGATAATAATAATAATCAAATTAATTTTAAAAATAAAAATTCTTACCGAAAAGAAATAAAATCGTTTTCATTAGAAAATGTCATTACTCGTTTGCTATCTTCTTTTGGAACCGGAAACAAATATTTTAATATACTTGTAACCTAAAATAATTAAAATAATAATATTAATATTTTAAATTAATAAAATGAATTTTTTTTTTTAAAAAAAAAAAAAACTTACACGACGACCCAAATTGCTATTAAAATTATTAAATATCAAATGAGGATATGCTTCTGAAACAGTTCCTTGATCATCAATATCATGTCTTAACACAACATTATTTAGAGAAAAAAATGCCGTGGGACCATAAGGGAAATGAGAAATCACCATTCCATCTAAAATTATAAAATCTTGATAAATAAATAAATAAATAAATAAAATAAATATATATAATTATTATTTACCAGGTTCACCACGATGTTCATGTAATATTATTAAGTCTGTGACTTCGTTTGCTTTACATGCGTCAACTAAATCTTTTATTACATAATTACCACGATTTATACGCTGTGAATTTGGAATACACAAACGTATTTCCTATCAAAATAATAAGAAAATAATATGAAATTTTTAATTCATTAATACGCTGATATAACTGATATAGAGTAATGGTATCTTGATAACAAATTTTATAAATTTTAATACCTTGGAAAATTGTGAAAGTCTACTACTTGGAGAGCGAGAAGTTGTAATAAGAACTTTTGGATCAAATATACCAGATCTCGCATATTCATCGTCAATATGTGTAGTAGGATCTGTTTGTTTATAATTATAAAAAAAATATAAATATAAATTTGAATTAAAATAATTTAAAATTAAATAATTAAAATTAAATAATTTAAATTAAAGGTTAAAGTACCAATTTGTGTTTCATCGAAATGTAATTCCTTTTGAAGTTCGGCCGCTTCTTTACGTAATTCAGTTGGTATAGGTTTTCCCTCTGTCGAAAAATTAACATTATTGAAAATCAGTTAAATTCAACACAAATGAAAACAGAATTTTCATAATTATCCTGGCATATCGAATGTGAATACCTTTAATTGCTTCTTTTATTTTTTGTTTTCTTTCAAAAATTTGCTTTTCTTTGGTTTCCAAAGACTTTCGATACAAATATTCTCTTCTAAGACGAGTTTGTCTACGAATCTTAGATGATATTGAATTTAATAATTTAATAATTTAAATATACAGAATTTTAAATTTTTGAAATGCAATTACCATTTTGACCAAATTATCAATTTATAAAAGAAAAAAAAATTTTCGAGATTAAGATTGTACGACAATTAAGGATTAAGCTCAAAATCCTATAAATAGAATAAAAAATCTAAATAATATTTAACAATTAAGTATGAGCAAAATCTTATCTGCCTCTAAAATACAAGAACAATTTGAAATTTTCTCAGGAGATGGGACGCAGATTGAGGAGCACAAACTTCCAAACTCCTGGAGGAAATCGATTTTTCTCCTAAGCCCAGAACAATAAAAAGCGAAAATATGCTTTGCAAGAGTCTAAAGTGATCACTAAAAATGAAGACCAATTAATGATCTCCAAGATAAGCATTCAAACCATGAAATCATGGTTTGGGACTCTATTGGAACGAGTTTACAAAGGAAATATCTCAGAGGTTGTTGTTACATACAAAGACAGGCTCTGTTGTTGGATTTGAACTCGTTGAAAGATGACTAACACAAAACTTATGGTTCTTGATCAAAGACTTAACAAGAGAACTTGCAATGATCTCCTTGCAGTCTATAACCACTTCATGGCAAAGAACATTGGAATACAAAAATAAAAGAAAACAAAAGCAAACCCAAAAGAAAACAAATGATGATAAAGCGACAAGCAAAAAGAGAAGAAACTGTGGGAAAAAACAAAAATAATAAGATTCTTTCCAACTCAGAAACTTTTGCAAAGTGGTTTTGAACAACAAGGGAAACTTATGACAAGAATATCAGCTATAGAAAAGGAAGGAATTTCTCAGAATAAGAAAGCTCTAAGGACTAAGTATCTAAATTCCGAACTTTTCAAAATGAAAGCAATTTTAATATAAAAAATGATACAAAATGAAAAAAAGCAGAGAAAAAAAAAAGTGAACTTCCAGCTAATATATCAGAATGGTGGATTTCTATTAACTGGGAATCTAATAATGAAAAAGCAAAGAATAATTTATAAAATCACCTGAGAATTTAATAAAGATCAAAAGATTTGAAATCTTATTGATGAAATATACAAGAAATTCATCAAGTGAATTGTTAAATAATATCATATTATTTTTAGAATTTGGAATACAAAAATTGGTGATCTCGTTATAAATTTAAACAATGGTTGATCTTGATATAAAGTTAACTTTCAAGTGTTTTTAATATCAATAAAGATAAATAAACAATTAACACTCAATCAAATCAAATTAGAGAGTTTGGCATTGGGATTTACTATCTTTTATTTATGATGGTTACAGACATAGATGGTTGTCTTAATTCAAAAAAGGAAATTTAACAATAGAGTCTATTGTTAAAATTTTCTTCTTTAAAATAAGGCAACTATCTATGGTTACAGGATTTGAATAATAATCAACTTTGAACATGTTTAATTGTAAGTGCAATATTAAGTATCAAATTAAAATATATAAGCATTTATAAAATTTTATAATAAAAATTAACAATTTACAAAAAAAAATTTATATATTGTTATCATACATTTTTATTTAATTTGAATTAGATAAAATTCACACTTATGTTATTATATTCTCTATTGTTTATACTTGGACATTTGAGAAATTACTTACTCTAATTGTTTTCTTATTGTATAATTGAAAAATTGAACAAGATCTCTTTTATGTTTTATATTATTAATAATAAATATACAACTATACAGAATTAAATTCATATAGTGAAGTCAATATTAATATACTTGAATATATATGCTAGTATCAACACCAATTGATTAAAATGAATATCAATTTGTTCTTTACCAAAATACTTTATTAAATTAGAGATTTTTTTGTATTAATTTAGTAATTATTATTACCATATGTTAAAAATAATTCAATTTGAAGAAATATCTTTCCTAAAAAATTAGCAAGTGAAAAATAGAATTCCATTTTTTTTTTTTTAAGTTAATGGTTTATATGTCAGGTTAAATATTTCATTAATTAGTGATTTAATTTTTGATTCTCACACACGATTATCATTTTTTAATTTTTTAAAATTAATAAAATGAAGATTCTTGTGATTATGTGATTATTGATCTTCGCATTTATTCGCGATCTTTGGCATTCACAAGTAAATTTAGGTGAACCATAAAGTCTTAAAGTGAGGATGAATGTATCTTATAAACAGTTTATAGACAATTCATAAACAGTTAAAAAAAAAAAACATTTAAAAGAGGAAAAGAAACGAAATCTTTTTGTTTATGACTATTTGTGATTAGTAAAATGTTGTACTATGCTCACTATGTAATCAAATATTTTTTGTGTTCTGACTTGGTTACATATAAATACTGAATTTATACATTTTAGTGTGAAATTTGCTTTAGGAATAAGGAATCAAAGTGTTCAATATTTTTTGAAATCTCTTTCAGCTGGAAGGTTGAATTTAATAAATGAATCAAAAGTTTGGAGTCAGTTTATATACTAATTTTATACATACACTGTAAAGTAATCAGGTAATTTTGTGTTTCTGCGGTTATGTTTAGTTTTAGTATGTGTTGGGCATTTTGTCGGTTTCGTGCGACTTGCACAAAATAAGTCACCCCATTCTTTTATAATTACATATTCTTTTTCCTAACGATCTATACTCTTGGGCAGTGATCGTTTACGACATTGCAACAGGACGTTCCTTAAATCACTCAAACCTCACAAACTCTGTTTCTCACCTCCCTTTGTATATATATACCTTTTTTTATCCGGTGTGGAAACTCAATTTCCCTATAAAGACCACAGGCTATCGTTGCCTAAGAGAATAGAACTGCTCGTTAGACTATTAATAGATTTTATTTTGCACATCCAAGCACATAAAGTTCATAAAGATTTGTCCCATTTCCGTCATAAATATAAAAAATTTTCGTTTTTTCTTTTTTTTTGTTGCTACACGTAAACTGTGTACAGATTCTTGCGCTACGTCCCCGTATTTTTTTCAACTTGTACGATAATATTTATTTGTTTAAGTAACAAAGTGTTTCTAAAGGTAAGATATAAAGAAAAAATAACTAGTTCTCGAAAAGTTTGTAGATTGTTGATCATTCCAATACATCCTAACAATTTTATTTTTATTTTTATTTATTTTTCAAACATACTTTTATAAAAGATAAAATTATAATGGAGGTATGTTGAAGTAACTTCCATGATTAAGTTTTTCGAATCGTCTTTTTTCTTTTTTTTTTATATATTCCCTTTGAACTCATGATACATGTTTTTCTTTTTTAATTCTTTTTAGCAAAACGAAACAAAACCTGTCCAAAGTGCTTGGAAGATTGTAAGTTAAAGGTTCTTAATTGAATTATTTCTCATCACTAAGCCACAAGTTGTAACACCAATATGTATTATTACAAGACATTGTTACCTAAAACAAAAAACATATATTACAATTCCTGATCAAATATTATGTTACATTTATTATTACTTGACTCAATCCTTTAGCCCAAGACTTCTGCTAATAGATCTGCTAGTCCCATATCAGCAACGAATAAATCAAGTAATGCCAACGGCGACTCCCGTAGCGACAAGAATAGTTCATCACCAGCTTCCAATTCCCCTACTACGTCGGCAAATTTAGTTTCATATAATAACAATCAAAGCTGGAAAGTTGTTGGAAGTCCGCCTACCAATGTGATCCGATCTATCCCACCAAGTCCAGATGGAGATAACCAAGATCCAAAATCGCGTAGAGGGTCAAGCAATCAAAGCACTCCTCGATATTTAAATGGAGGTGTTGATCTAACATCAAGACTGGTTCCTTCAAATTCACCTCCATTAAAAAATCAACAAGGCATCCCTAATGGAAATGCTGATTCCACAAATGGTGGTAAATGGGGTGCTTTAGGCTTGCAGTGGCCTGGTCCCACTTCAATTTGGACTGAAAAAAATTCTCCACAATCTGGTAAACAAGGTCCACGTACATCTTCAACTCCTCCACCTCCTACAAAAAGTGAGGATGTAAACAGTAATTCATCATATGAAAGAGATATCAATTCACCTCCAGGTATCTCCGGGAATTTACCTGTTCCAGTACCTCCAAATCCACAATATCGAACACACCGAAGTCTCTCTTTTTCAGTCGGACAACATGATACCGATTTATTTGGTTTTGCACCCACAACAAATCGTCGTGATAGTGAAGGTGGATTGCGTTTTGCATATCGACACTCTTTACCAGTAATGGAAGAAGAAACCGATGATTTTTCACAATTTAATATGAAATTCCGTGCACGATCAAAATCTTCCGCAGCAGCATATGGAGTAATTTCGGGTCATCCTGATCTTTCTCATAATGATGATCTTAGTGAGCAATATTCGGAATCAGGTTCAATCTGGAACAATCAAGGACCCCAAAATGATGGACCTATTCTTCATCACAGACGTTCAGTACCTGGAACATCCGATTACGGAATGTGGGATAGTTTGAATTCATCCAGACAACCCGCACCATCATCTTCGTACTTATCAGTGTTGCCTGGTTTATCAACTGCAGATCGGGATCGGTTAAGACAACGACGTTTCTCTCATTCACAAGTACCTACATATGGAAATGAATATCAGTATATGGATGGTAATCAGGATTTACGGATGTTAAATCATCGGTAAAAAAATTTAAAAATTTAAAATGCATATTATTTTTTATGATAAAATTTATTAAGATATAAAATTTTATAAGTTTAATAAATAAATTTAATGAATTTTTAATAATTATTTATTATTTATTATAGGGCTCCCACGGCAATTGATTCATCATTTGCTCACCTTGTGCAAAGACGTCATTCAGTTGCAGGACCAGCAATGTCATTTTCATCTAATCAACCAACTAGATATATATCGGATGCTTTGGAATCACTCCATTTAAATAATGTACCGCAAGCAACATATACCAATGATACTGGATATGCGAGTATTCCGGAAGATATTGATGATTATTTTGATAATGATGAACATCGAACACGAGCGTGGAATGAACTTGGAAAAGGTCTTCCTCTCCATGCAGTTCCTTCACATGGACCTTTATTTCTTGTTGAGTTTAAAGCAGGTCGAACAGATCTGTTTTATGTTGCAGAAAATAGTGGGAACATGGTTAAAAAAGGAGATCTAGTGATAGTTGAGGCGGACCGAGGCAAAGACTTGGGAAAAGTAACCAATGATTCAATTATGCCTCATCAAGTACAATTATTACAACAACAACAAGCTGATAATATGGGGGATGGGCATCGTATGAATAAAGAAATTCATCCCAAACGTATTTATCGATTGGCACAACCAGCAGAGGTTACAATGCTAGTTACGAAAAGTCAAGATGAAGCAAAAGCTATGTTAGTTTGTCAAACTAAAGTTCGGCAAAAGAAATTACCTATGGAAGTTGTTGATGCCGAATATCAATGGTATTTAAATAAAATAGATATTATTTATTAATCATAATTAATCGTTTTAATAATAATAATAACTATTATTATAATTAATCATTAATAATATAGGGATCGACGTAAACTCACTTTCTATTTCATCGCTGAGCGTCGCATTGATTTCCGTGAATTGGTCCGTGACCTATTCAAAATTTACAAGACGCGTATTTGGATGTGTGCCGTAAATCCTATGATGAATAAGTCTAAGAAATGAATGGGAAATGAGGAGAATGTATCAAAATTACCATGACTGAAAGAATTTCCAACAATACAAAAAAAAAAAAAAATTCACAAAAAAAAAAAAAAACAAATTATATATATATATGCATACATATATATATATTTTTTTTAAAAAAAAAGTTGCAATGATTTAAATGATTTAACTTCTTGGAAAATGCCTGTGTATATTTTCCCTCTTTTGTATTATTCGAACGTTAAGACTGTAGAAGAGATATATAATGAATTTCTCATTACACACTCACAATTTTCAAAATTGTTAATTATTTTTTTCTTCTTTGTATCTATATTTTTTTATATATTTTTTTCTCTCTTTTAGAAGCTATAGATCCAAATAAATCTTCATATCTTTATTAGTGTTGGGTCATTTGCGTAGCTTCCTGCCATATACCATTTTTTTGTTTAATATATACTTATACAATTTATAGGTTTTATTTTCATTCCAAGGTTTGTTCCCAACAACTGATAGTCTTTTTTTTTCATTTTTTTTCTTCATTTTTTTTTTATATCACAGTAGACTTATTGTAGAAATTTTTTTTAAACCAAATATATTATCTTTTTTTTTTCGAATTTTTTGGAAAATTTTCTTTTTCTTTTGGGAAACAAGTGAAAGATAAATAATAGAAAAAGGCTTGCCTTTCTTTTTTTATGTTACATTTTGATAATTTTGATAATATCTTTGATAATTGATAATTTTGATGATGATTATTTTTTCTTTCGCTTGCTTCGTTACCTGATTCTTTCTTTCTTTCATTCTTTCTTCCTTTATTTGAATAGCATGAAGGAAGAACAAAATTTATAGATTTTTAGCAAAAAGATTAAGAAGATAAGGTTTGGTTTGTTTGAGGATAATTTGTTAGAGTAAGATAAAGTTAATTGGTGATTATATATATATTAGGAAAGAGGCATATTACATATATACATTACATATACATATAAAAGAAGTTTTAGAAGTTAAATGAAATCATTTTAAGCTTAATGTATGTCTTTTTTTTTTAATAACTATTGATATTTTAATATTAAAGTAAATTATGATATATTATTTTTTTTTCATTCCATTGTAAAGAATTAAATCAAGTAAATAAAATTATATTTTTTTCATAAAAAAAAAGGTGCTTTTATGTATGAATATTTTATGAATATATTTTATTTTATATATTTTATATAAAAAATACTATAACAATTATATTATTATTATCAAAATAAAAATAATTAATGTAAAAAATATACAAAATTGTATATTATGTATATTATATGTCGTATATATAATGTATATACTAATATCAGTAATTATATTGACAATATTTTTAATAATTCATATGTATGTCTTTCCCACACAATTTAATGTCTATTTCAGCATAAACGAGAAAAGAAAAGAAAAAGAAAAAGAACGTAAATCCCGATGAAGAAATCCAATAACATAATAAAATAAACTCATTCACGTGGCGAGTCGAATCGGAAGGAAATTACCGACGATGGCAGACTTGTCGTTATATGAAATTAAATCGAAAATTAGAAATAAATTACTGGAATTATAATTACATCAATGAAATGTAACATACCGGTCTACAAAAATAAAACAATAATAATTAATAACATTCTCTTTCTCTCACACACTCTTTCTTTAATAATAATAATAATAATACATACATGTTATATTTGTCACGACGGATCGTGAACGAAAAGCAACATGATATGACATTTTGATTATCCTGATCAGGTCCTTTTAGCAAACAAGATGTTAACACGGCTTTTTGACCTGCATCAAATGCTATATTTCCATATTTCTAATTATTACAGTTAATAAACAACAATAATAATAGTAATAAATAATAATAAATAACAAATAATAATACATAATAAATAAAAATATATAATAAATGAATAATATCAATAATTAATAATAAATAATAATACATAATATATAATAAATGGATAATAATAGTTAATAATGCATAATAATCAACGAACCTCCCAATAATTCACAGCTGATTCTTCCACCATCAACTTTATGTTCAAAAAAATGGAATTGATTAATTTGTTTAGAAATGCAAGAATAATTTATGTAAGAATGCAGTTACCTCATATATACAAAGTCGACCTTCTCTTAGCATTTCCGCTGTTACGCCTACAAGTGATGCGAATTCTTTATTCCCTTTATATATCTCTCCAGTTCTTCGCCATAAACAAGCTGGAATACCCATAGAACTGAATACTCTATCATAATCCTAATTTCATTTAACCATTTAATAACAATTAATATGATTTAGTTATAATTATGTTATAATTATATTATAATTATTAATTTGGTTAATTTAAAAGATTTTAATATATATATATATATATAAAACATCAAATAAACAAATATCAATTATTCAAACCAATAAAAGTCTTTCAAATGCTTCTTCAACCAAAACCAAATCAATATCTGTCAATGATTGTGCGACATTACGAAAGGATGGACGAAACATGCCAAGTGAACTTAAAATCCGTTGCCTGCTTATGTTCGTCATGCTAATTATAATAATAATCAATAATCAATAATAATAATCAATAATAATAATCAATAATAATAATCAATAATAATAATAATAATAATAATAATAATAATAATAATAATAATAATAATAATAATAATAATAATAATTAATAATAATAAATAATAATTAGATTTCATTATTTATATATATTATTTTATTACTTACTTATTTTCCATATATTGTTGCAATCGCGCATATCCGTTAACATAATTATATGGTTTCAAAAATCCCGCTTCAAATTTTGCGTTGATCACTTGGGTCAATCGATCTTCAAATGTACCATCCGATGGATCCGCCGCAGTCAAAAGAAATTTGTCGGTAGTGTCTATCAGGGTTCCGCCGCTGGAATTGTGAAGATTTTGATGATTTCCATCAACACTTTCCAAAAAGTCACTTTCCACAAAAGAATATTAAGTAAACATATGGCAACTCAATCCGTGTCGCTATTTTTTAAGAATAAAACCAACTGAATAACTGATGTAATTGTTGAAGTGAATTTCTCCATGGATCTTACGTAAGCACGGTGAATTCATGCCCCATGTGCTCGCTCGCAAACGTTAGAGGTGTAGGTAATTGCGAATATGCTGTGATCTGTGGGAACGCCTGCATTGGTAAATTGGGATAATTTCCTCCAGGTCTTAATACTAAAAAAATAATAATAATAATAATTATTATTATTATAAATTTTTAATTTTAATTTTTTTTTTTTAATTTGTTTATATTTATCTAATTAAAAAAATTAAATATTATAATATTCATAATATTTGTAATATTTGTAAATTGATTTTTTATTTATTTATTTACCATCCTGTGGAATTTGTTGCATTGACATAAGGTTAGCTTGTATCGCATTAGTTCCTCCAGTCATTTGTTGTGCATTGTGTGTGCCTTTGGGTTCATCATGACAAAGGTGTCCTATACTTCTTTTTATACAACGTTGACAAGGACGACCTAAAAAAATAATTTTTAATTTTTGATAATTATAATAATAATAATAATTAATAATAAATATAATAAATATACTTTTTATGATATATAAAAATAATACCGTCATCACAAGTCATATGAGATCTTCGACAATAAACGCAAGCTACAAGAAAGCTGATTTAGTAATAAATAAAAATGATAAAAATAAAAAATATTTCAAAAAAATAAAAAAAAAAAAAATAATTAGAAATACCGTGAGTAACTTTTCTTCTTTTCGGTCCATTTCTCTTTTTCTTTGTATCTGCTTCTTTCATTACATTTGAGGCCTCACCAACTTGATTCTCGTGTTCAGATTTTACGGTGGGATCTGTAGTAGACTCTATTGGCTGATGCTGTTGAAGTGTTGGGTGTTGAGATTGTGGTGACGTGACGTGTTGCTGTTGAGAATTATCCATAGGTAACTGGGATACTTCTGTGTTATAAAATTGTTGGGAATTACTGACATTCATTATTATCCTTTTTTTATCCTTTTTTGATCGTTAAAAAGATAAAAAAAGAGACTCGCGAGAATTGAAATTGGATCATGAGAATTAGATTTATGTAAAAATAGTGACTAATCAGAAACTAATAAATTATTTAGATTGTAAATCAACTTCCATTATTGACCATATTTAATATTTATTATTATAACCATATTTAAATTTTAGTGCAACTTTTGATCAATGAAATTTGATATAAACAATAAAAATTCTTTAATCTTTTTAAAAAATCATTCAATTCAATTCCCATGACAACACAAAACCAAGCATCGTTATATGTTTCAGAAAAAATTGTTCAAAATGTTAAAACAATAACATTTATTCGTTCTTCGATGTCAGCAATTACTGGTTCGGCAGCAGGAATCTTGGGTTTGACTGGATATTATGGATTTATATTTTATGGAATCACTTCTTTATTTACATCTTTTCTTATTTGGGCAGCTAAAGCACAAGCGAAACCAAGTTTATATTTTCGTAATGGATTAGATGTATGGACGGAAGGAATATTTGGTGGATTATTTTCCTATGTGCTATTCTGGACTTTATTATATGGTATCGTGCACGGTATGTTGTATTTGTTATTTACATGTGCGACGGCTGAAATGTTTTTTATTTGATTATATCATCTGATTTGATTATTTCATATCTTTTATTGCAGTTTATGATTAAAATATAAAAAAATAAATAAAAATATAATAAATATAAAAATATTATACACCAAACAAAAATTATCTTTAAAGGAATAATTTATTATTGATAAATATCATTATAACATTTTACTCTTTCCCTGGGATTAGAATCTTATTATTCATCTCCATTTCTTCGAGACTTCAATCTTAAAAAAATCATTCTAGATATTAACAAAAAGTTGATTTGTTAGCGATAATAGTTTGTTTAATTTTTAATGTAATCTGTTCGGGAATAAATTGCAAAATCCTTATTAAGTAAAAGGATTAAATTCTCTCTAAAAAAAAAAAAACATCGAGATTTGTTACGACGATAAAATTTTATTGTTGATAACCCGCGAAAATCTCCATTATATAACACATTTCCTAAATAAAATCAATCTTTTTTTTCCCGACCTTGTAATAATTTTTTTTTTCTTTAAATGTCCTCAATAAATTCCTTATCGGATCTCGATTCTAATTTGAAATTTCTGAGAAATTCATTAAATGTATGTATCTTATTTCAATTAAACGAGTTTCCATACTTATATCTCCGAATTTATAATATTCATAATATTCATAAATATTTTACCACTATTTTTTAGGATGTATGTGATCATAACGCAAAGATGCTTGAAGCGAGAGTGTCGCAAGTGCAGCGAAAGTAAGAAATATTTTTCTACCCTTTTAAATAACGTAAATAAATACAAAAATTATTCATTCCTTTTTTTTTTTTAAAAAAATAGTCCAAGGCAACTTTTCAAGTTAGGAGCTTCAAGAGAAGAAATAGATCGTTTAAATTCTTTTGAACAACATTTCAATGACGTATGTGACGAACTTTATTTAAACTTTGTGAGTACACCAATCATTATTTCTCTTATTTCCCCCGACTTTATAATAATTAGTTTAAAAAATAAATTTAAATTTAGACAAATTAAAAATAAAATAAAATTTATAATTTGGACGCGTTTATTTTAATTATTCGTATTTTTTTTTTTTAGCAACTCGCAAAAGAAACTCTCGAAAGAGAGTTCCAATCAAAAGAAGGTCATCATGGAAACGAAGAAAAATCCAAAAATGATATTCTATCTAAGGAGAAAGTTAAAAAACAAAATGATCACATTGCTTTTTTGGAAAAGGTTTTGGAATTAAATAGAAATAATACATCTTGAAGCTAAATAAAAAAAAGTAATATTACTGTATATATATAAATGATCATCTATCAAATTTTACTATATACAGACCAGTTAAGTTTCTAATAATATATTAAATCTATATAACGGAGAGACTGGATAATGTCGCTTGTATCTCAATTACCTAATATTTTTATTATTGTTGTTTAAAATAAAATTTTTATTATAGATATTTAATTAAGATTATTAATTATTAATTATTAATAATTATTATTAATTATAAGGATGATTAATTATAATTATAAAATGTGCAAACCTCAATAGCTTGTTTAACTTCTAAATGTTCTTTAGCTGATTTGATCCAATCTTCAGCCAACTTTTTAGGCCATCCTTTCAACTGATTTAATTCTCTTGCTGCATTGTCTAAATCACATTCGTTAAGAAAGTATTGGACTCTAGCCAGTATAGCTTCTACATCATTACCATCCACTAAACCATGTTTACGAAACATGAGTTTAGACAACATTTTAGACAGGAGATGTGATAATACTCCTCCATTTTCTGGTACCAATGAGGCACGACGAACTTCTTCTCTCACATCACGGAATCGCGTCGCCAAGTCAGAAATTGAATCAATCCCATTAATAGCAACTGAATCATCGATTGTGGATAAAACTGTGGTCACCACTTCATCAGTTGATGATAAATGTTTTAAAGCGACAATTTGATCTGCAAACGACGTTCGATGAGGTTTTTCGACTGCATTTTGTAATGCCCTCAATGCACACCATAATTGATGAACTTTAAGACTATTGTCTAAGTGTTCTACGTTATCTACACTCAAACGTTCAAGAACCTTAAGACGATAATTAATATTATCAAGTCGAGCCAATCTTCCTGCGCGCTCTTTTTCCACCAAAAGCTTGACTTCTCTCACCCAACGACGTTGCATTTCAACAGCTTGTCGGACAAGTTCATTTTTTAATTCTTCATTAAATTTGATTGCTTGTCGTTCAAGTTCATCTCTCATTTGTTCTTGATGTTGTTTATAAAGATTTTGTTTATCAAGTTCAAACGGTTGCTTCATAGAATTTTCTTTATCTTTAATATATTCATCTACATGTTTCTCATATTCAGTCAAAATTTTATTAAATTCTTCCATTTGTTTAGATAAACTTTTTTGCAATAATGATTCTTGTTCAATTTTAAGTAAATCAATACGATTATTAAGTTCTGTTAACTCTTCTTTGGCTTTTTTTAAAATATTATTACTGGCATCCTTTAAACCATTACTTAGTAAAATGGTTTCTAATTCATTCAAAATATTTGTAAGTTTAAGAATGATAGAATCAGATGATGTAATTAATTTTTCTTCCTGAACCTTTTTCACATCATCTACTGGCAGTTCTTCTCGTGGTTCTTTTGGAGTTTCCTTCGGAGTTTCCTTTGGAGTTTTTTTGGGGATTTCTTTTGGTTGGGGTGGTATGATAGTAATGTCTGATGATGATGACTTATCAGGAGGAGTTGAAGGTTTTTCGAAAACGCCTGAAATTTTTTCATAAGTATAATCGCGCCATTTAATTACATTTCTTCCAATTTTATTAAAAGTTCCTTGTCTATAAAGATCATCCACATAGTCTACAACCGTTTCTGCTCCATAAACATTATCAGTAAACCAAGATCGGAAATCATCATTGTTTATAGAGTAATATACGGCACCACCATAAGCAATCCCTCCCAAGAGTGTTATACTAATCAAGGGTTTGCTTAATCTTCTAAATCCGCTTTTTTTATCGGAATTTGTTTTAGACTCTGATTTTGCTTCTTCCGGCGTTTTCTGTGAGGGGGTGGGTTCTGAAGTGGCAGTTTTTTTTGTATCAATAGGCGTCAGGTTCGCGGGACTTCCATTGCTAGAAAATCTCTGTTGTCGGAAGTGGGTTTCAAAAAGTAATTATCGCCTCTAATTTGAATAACCATAATATTATATAAAGGTTTAAAAACCTTCAACAAAAAAATTTTTTTAAATTATTTGAAACCTTTGTAGTATTAAATTGTTGCTTCGAATAAATACGTAAATATACTGTCCACGTTCTAGGAGCTTGTCGTAAAGCACCCAACATATTTAAGGACCTTTAAGGTGCTTCGCATGCGTATTCTTTAAAAAAAGTTTCCAGCTCCATATCAGTAATTTTTTATTTTATCGTGGTACAAAATTTTTTTTTTTTATTTAGCCATATATATTTTTACATCTGCATCTCTTTATTTTTTTTTGTTAAATATCGTGAATATCATCAAACATCAAGAATAATGGATAGATTATTTCCCAAGGAGACTATCAAGGTTTATTTGTGTACAAATTTATAGATATATATATATTTTTTTCAATTCAATTCTCTTTTTTTTTTTAATTCTTATAATTTGTTTAATAATTACTATAGAACACAGCAGAATCTATAGGAATCACGAACCTGAAAGATAATGTCGCGGCTACACTAGCACTTGATGTGGAATATAGAATTCACGAAATTATACAGGTGGTGGGAACTTTCCAAAACACCAAAAGTGTTCCACAAATAATATAAAACTTAAAATTATTACGGAACTATACTTCGAACAGGAAGCGAACAAATTTATGCGTCATTCAAAACGTACTAAACTTACGGGAGAAGATATAAATAACGCGTTACACGTACGAAACGTGGACGTAAGTAATTAAAATAAAAAAAAAAAAGATTATTTTAAAAATTATCTAAATTATCTGAAGTTTGAATTCTTTTTTTTTTTTTTTTTCATTTAGCCATTATACGGATTTACTTTAACCGATAATTCCAAATTTCAACGAGTAACGACAAATCAACATGATTTATTTTATGTCGATGATGATGAATATGAATTTGAAAATTTGATTGATTCGGCAATGCCCAAATTACCCACTGAAGTTACATTTACGGGTTGGTTAATTTTTAAATTTTATAGATTTTTTTTTTTTTTTCAAAAGATTTTTGACTAATTTTTAATTAAATTCTTTTTAAAATAAGCACATTGGCTCGCAGTAGCAGGTGTTCAACCTGCTATACCCCATAATCCACCACCACTTCTATCTGAAGGTATTATTATTATTATTATATTAAATAGTTTAAATTTTATAAATTGAAAAAAATTTTTTTTCTTAAATGAATAAATATGTTTCAAGGTATTGTTACGGATACTCGTAAAAAGGTGCCGACGAATACAATTGTTCAAGTACCTAATGGAGTAGTGACAGGTACACCGGAAATAGAAGTTAAACCTTTGGTACAACATATTTTATCCAAAGAATTACAATTATTTTATGAAAAAGTGATTAATACTATGCAAAGTGAAGATGATAGTAAATTGAGAGTATCTGTGCTTAATAGTCTAGAACATGACACGGGATTAGCACAACTACTTCCGTATTTTATACAATTTATTTGTGAGAAGGTATGTTTGTTTGAATTTATTAAATGAAATAATTATTCTCCTTTTTTATTATTATTATTATTATTATTATTATTATTGTAAAGAGAGAAATAAGAGAAACGAAAGAAAAATGTTTATTTTTAATAGATTGGACAAAATATTAAAAAAAATAGCATAATTGTGAATTCAATGCTAAATATGACAGATTCGTTAATTAATAACAATAGTTTATATCTTGAACCTTATGTAAGTTTTTAAAATCTTTAAGGAATGAATTATTAAAGCGGTAAAAATATGAAAAACACTCATAAATGATTGATCTTTATATATATATATATATATTTTTAGTTGCATCATTTAATGCCAGCTATATTAACATGTGCTGTAAGAAAGAAAATTGGAGTAGACTTTGATAAACATTGGGAGACGCGAGAATTAGCGGCGCATATACTTGCAAAAATCTGTGATAGATTTGGAGCGAGTTATAATACTCTTCAACCGAAAATCATACGTACTTTATTATCTGCATTTACCGATCCATCCAAATCATTAAGTACACATTATGGTTGTATAGTGGCTATGGGTGCATTAGGGAGAGAAGTGATTAGATCTATTTTGGTTCCAAATCTCAAAACTTACTCAGAAATACTTTCTTTGCAAAAAAATAATCGAGAAGCATTACGTTGTTACAATGCGATAGTGGTAAACATTATTATATTATTATTATTTTTATTATTTTTATCATTTTAAAATCTTAAAAATCACATTAAACCTTTTTTTTTTACCATATATTATATATTATTAAATATAATATATAAATATAGGATATATTACCGAAATTAAAAGAAACAATTGATCCATTGATTAACAATCAAATGCGTGATGAAGATTTAAGACAAAAATTGGTAGATAAAATAGGGGAATATTTTGCCAAAGGAGTTATGAGTCAAATTGGAGACGAGCAAGTCATAATGGCCATAATTAATTGTTAAATTATTTTATTTTCTTGTCTTTTTCTAATTAGAGATTTTTTTCTTTACATATAAATAATTTTTTTTTTTTAATATATTAATAACTATAAAATTATTATTTTTTTGTTATAACATTTTTTTATTGTGAATTTTGTCCATCGTTATCATCACTTTCTTCTTCATCATCATCCGAAATAACATCAATATCATTACTGCTTCGAATAAGATTATTGAGTGATGGTTCTTCTTCACGTTCTAACTTACGAATATATGTTCTTTTCTTTCGTTCAGATAGTGTTGATAATAATCGATCACGTTCTTGTTGTTCTTTTAACAATTCTTTATCACTTTTAACATCACTATTTTCAATGTTTTAAAAAAGTTTTTTTGATAAGTTTTTAAATACTATTGATTAAATTAATTATACAATTTACAAACCTAATTATTATTTGCGTAGATTGTTGACATTTTGAGCAAACACCTTTTTTATTAGCACACTTATCACACAATATACGGTACGCTTCTTTAATAGTTTTCTCTTCGCAACTGACGCTTTGTAAAAAAATAATAATAAATTTACAGTTAAATCACTGATAAAATAATCTAAAACAAATGAATTTGATATCTTACCAACGTTTAGGGATGGTCAAAGGTTTATATTTGTTAAATTTCTTACGCCATTCAAGGATATCTTTACATCTCTGACAACTATTAAAAATAAAAAATTTGCAAATTATAAAATTATATTTATATTTGAAATATATTCAATTTATTATAATATATATATAAATATATATATATATGATTAAATTTTTTTTATCTTACACTCCGCTTATCGGTAATGAATTAATTATTTGCGTTTTTTTATTAGAATTTTTATTGGGTTGAAAGGAATATACATTTTTATGCTTTTGAGCATCTTTCTTTTTACCACTCGTTGAAACTCTCATAATTGGGGGTAATTTTTTTTTTTATCACTAATTTATGTAGATATGACAAAATATGGTAATGACAATGGACGTGTATAACATAAATATCATCGAAAATAAAGTATGCAAGATCATGTGGTACAAAGGAATTATACATATATATAGGGATATTTTATTAAAAATGTCTTCCCAATTTTCTTGTTATAAAATCAAATTTTATCAAATAATTATGAATTTTATCGAAAGTTCCCAACAAATAAGCGTTGGTGTATTGGGTATTTTTTATATAATTTATTAGAATTCCTTTCCTCTCTTTGTAATAATTTTATCATTCAAATTCCTTTTTTTTTTTTTTTTTTTTTTCATTTAGCTCTCCAAGGTGCTTTTCAAGAACATATACATATGTTACAATCAATTCCAAAAGTTTCCTCCGTATTACCTGTACGTACTGCAGAACAACTTGGTTCTATTGATGCCTTAATAATACCTGGCGGTGAATCTACTACAATAGCTTTGGTGGCCGAACATTCAGGAATTTGGGAGAATCTAAAAGAATTTGTTCGTCAGAAACCTACTTGGGGAACTTGTGCTGGTATGATCTTATTAGCAAATGAAGCTAATAACACTAAAAAAGGTGGACAAAAACTTTTAGGTGGTTTAGATATTAAAGTTAATAGAAATCATTTTGGAAGTCAGGTAAAATACATTTTATGTGAATTGTTCGATCCTCAAGAAAAATGGTAATAATAATAAATAATTAATTAATTATTTTTGTGTATAGATTGATTCATTTGAATCTTTACTTCACATATCTCACATTACTTCCTCACCCGAAGATCCTTTTCCCGCAGTTTTTATTCGAGCTCCAACAATTTCAACCATTAACTCTTTGGATGTTGAAATCTTGGCAAAACTTGAAAATAATGTGGATGAAACAGATGCTTCAACAGTTGTAGCTGTTAAGCAAGGTCATCTTCTTGCTACCGCTTTTCACCCAGAATTAACTAATGATAATCGAATACACAAATATTTTGTTGAACAGGCTATAAATTATATTGCTACAAGACAAAATGGTAAAAAGGAAATTTCCTTGGTGGATGGTAACCAAAACATTCAAAAGCCAACGTGATCTTTTTTTTTTTTTTTCACAAATATTTATACAACACAAAAGAGACAATATTTATGTAATCTAACAGTTTTTTTTAACTTATTTATTAATGTACAGATTCTACTAGAATAATCCATTATCATTTTTTCATCATTTCTTATATACAACAAAAAAAAAAAAAAAAAAAAAAGACACCGTAAAAATATAAAATTATAATAATAATAATAATAATAATAACAATTTAATAATAATATTTTTTTTTTATGAAATAAATACTTTTTTCAATTGAGAAAATGAAAATATATCACCAGTACGAGGACACGTAATTTTCCCATTATTTTTGGATGACATTTCATATAATGCCTAGATAAATTTTGGATAAAAATAAATAGTAAGCATTAATTGATATATCATTATAAATATAAATTAATAACTTTTAACAATTAAATATATATATATATATATTTTCTTACATCATATGAATAAACATATCCATTGGGTAAAGCCATAGGGGGATTATTTTCATTCATAATTTTACCACTTATACGACATACAATAGTTGAATTAACATGATGACTCATAGGTAAATCTTGTGCCAAAATTCCAAGAGTATCTGGTGAGCACACAGGACAATTAATATTCTTATTATCATGTTGATAACACATTGGAGTTTTAAGTGCTGAAAGTCCTGCTTGAAGGGTAACATTCAATAACGGTTGAGAAGGAAGTGAATTTAATGCATAAAAATCTGCTCGAAATTGTTCAATAAGCGCTTCCCAACGTGAAGGATCATATAGTGCCTTTAAGTTAGGTAAAAAAAAAAAATGAAATTTTTTTTATCATTAATCGAAAGGAAGGAAGATATTTTTAAATTGTCGAAAGAATAAAAATATACCTTATAAGGTGGACAAGTGGTATTTGGTGGGAAAGCAAGGGTACCCATCATCTGAAGAAATTGTGCAAGAAGAGGATCACTCCTGGGTTTCAATTTAAGAGAATCATGCCTCCTAATTGATCCCTGTGGTGAATCCTTTTTACTAGTGTCTAAATATGTTTTGAAATGTTTTTTAGAATAATCGATTGCCTCTTCCTTTTTATTAGCACGACATAATTCGATAAATTCTTGAACACGAAGATTAAATTCTAACGTGCTCTGTAAATGAAATAAATTCAGGATTAGTAATAAATAATAAATAATAAATAATAAATAATAAATAATAATAATAATTATTAAAAAAATAATAAATAATTAAAAATAATAAATAATAATAACAATAAATTATTTATAAAATATTATTAATTCGTCAGATACATTTATTTTACGTAAGTTTGATTTGTTTTCATTGCACCATTTTAAAGCTTCAGTACAACTGTTTGCCCCAAAATTTTGTCCTAACAAATTACGACCTCTCAAAGCTTGTTCAATAGCGCGTGCTTGTGTAAATAATTCAATATCAACAAGGGACTATGAAAAATGAAAGATAAATAAATAAATAATTAATTAATTTATATATTATATATATTAATAAGAAATAATTCACTTACTCCTATTTCATACTCTGAAGCCAATAATTCTGCTGTATCACTAAATCCTTCTCTTAATAAATAATCAACAAGTATTCTATCAATTCTCTTTTCATTCCATTTTTTAAACTCTGGATCATTAGTATTTTTAATCTTTGTTAATTCAATGAGATGATCAAGTCGTTGTCTGCCCCTTAAAATATGTTTTTTTTCTTCTTCATTTGCTTCATTAAGCTAATTTGAAAAAATTTAATTGTATTAGAATAATTTATATAACAAAATGAAGATGCTTCAATTTTTTTGCATTACTTTAGAAATAGACCATTTTTACGCTAATTTTAAAATTAATTTATCTCAAAGAATAGAAATTTGTAAAATACACACAAAAGAAAAAGAAAAGGATAAATATTTGGAAAGAGAAAATTAATAAATATTAATATGCCTTGCGTTTCAAGCATTCCAGTTTTTTCCCGATAGCTTCGAGGTTTTCGTATGCAGATTTGACGTCAAATGTACCCTTATCAGCTTGCTGACAAAGATCTTTAACAATTAATGATGCTTTGGCTAACTCTCTATCTAGATCTTTATGAGGTTTTGTTGAGCGTTTAAGTTGTTCCATGGGAACCTATATAAGAAAATGAAAGCGAATCAATTAAATATTCATATATTTAAAAAGTTTCAATAGAAGTTTAGCAAATAAACCGTTATGCCTTAAGGAAGGAGCCCTCTAATGCTAATAACGTTTCAGGATTGAATTTTTCCATGATTTTTTTTTTTCTTAGAAAAATGATAAATTCAAAATAGGTCAAAATATTTTAAAAAATTTTTAATTTTACCATCACGTGTAATACGTGTAATACGTGTAAAACCTGTAAAACCTTTAACCTCCCCTATTCAACTTTTTAATTTTATAAAGTAAAATAAAAATGAATTTTTTGGGTCTGTAAGTATATAAAAATAATATATATATATAAATTACAAAATAATATTTAATTAAACTAAAGTTCTTCAATGTGTTCTTGTTAGAAACAATAAGAATAAAACTTTTAAGCCAAAAAAAAATGTACCCGAAGGCACAAAACAATATGATCTTCAAAAGTACGCAGAAGCAACACTTTGTTCTGGGAATTTGAAACTTGCAGTAGTATTACCAGATGGAGAAGATATCAACGAATGGTTAGCTGTCAATAGTAAGCTTTACCTAAATGAATAATTTAATAATAATTCTGACAATAATTCTTAATCATAATTTTAATAATTTTAATAATAATTTTAAATAATAATTTTAATAATAATAATAATAATAATAAAGCTTACGATTTTTATAACCAAATTAACATGCTTTATGGAACAATTACTGAATTTTGTACATCACAAGGATGTCCATTGATGTCTGCTGGTCCAAAGTAAATATAAAGTTTTTATAATTATTTTTATAATTATTTTTTGAAATTGATAAATAAAATCAAATTTAATTAAATTAATTGATTTTTTTTTTCTTTTTTTTTAGTTTTGAATATCTTTGGGTTGATAATGAAAAATATAAAAAGCCTACAAAATTATCTGCACCAGAATATATAGATAATTTAATGGAATGGGTACAAAATCAACTTAATGATGAAAACTTGTTTCCTAGTAAAATAGGTAAAAATATTTTAATTTTAGATTTGATTTGATTTGATTTTTAATTAATTATTAATTGTTATTTAATATTAATTTTAATAATTCAGGAGTTCCTTTTCCAAAAAATTTTCAATCATCCGTCAAAGTAATATTCAAACGATTATTTCGTGTTTATGCTCATATTTATTTATCCCATTTCCCTGCTATTATAGCATTAGGTGAAGAAGCCCATTTAAATACCAGCTTTAAACATTTTATTTATTTTGTTCAGGAATTTCAGTTAATAGAAAAAAAGGAATTACAGCCTTTAACTGAATTAATTGTTACTTTAACTAGTAAAGATCAAAATATTTAGTTTTTTTTTTTTTTTTTTTAGTAAGAATATCCTTTGTAATTTACATTATAATTCATGTATTTTTGTATTTTTAATATTTGTGTACTTTATATATTTAGTACTATTCTTGTTATTCATATCATTCCAAATTCAATATATCTTCTAATCAATAGGAAAATTTTCATTTGGAAATCCAGTAATACAAACAATTTATTTTGGCTAAAATAAACATTCCATATTTTATTCACTTTTAGAACGTGATCTTTTACGATGACGACTAGGACGGTATGATGATGCCTTATACCTTTCCCGACTTGAATATCTTCTACGATAGATTGGCTCGTATCGATCATACCCTCGATTCCTTGAACGAGACCGTGATCTACCTTTCGAACGTGTGCGTTGTCGTCTACGGTTTGATGGTATATCTATAACCAAATATATCATTTCGATTCCTTGACATAGATTTAATCCAAATATTTAAAATATTTATCTTCTTTTACTTACATCGATCCGTCCCTTTGGGTGTCCTGCTTCTACTTCTACTTTTACTCCGACTTCTACTTCTACCTTTATTCTTTCCTTCATTCCTACCTCCACTCCTACTTCTGCTTAAACTTCCTGATTTTTGACTCACTCTATCCTTACTTTTATCCCTTTCTTTATTTATATCTAAATCCTTTGATTGTTCATTTTCTTGAACGTCTTGAACGTTTTCATTTTCTTGAACGTCTTGAACCTCTTGACTTGATGACGATATGGATCCATCGTCTTCATCCAAAAGTTCTTGAAGAACACTCTCTCGTGGCTTTAATTCTCCATTTTCCTCCAATACATGTCGTTTTGTTATTCTTGGCAATATAATATCACATGCTCTATCTTCGCGTAATAATTCATTAATGAACTCATCCATACATACGATTGAAAATTCTCCATCTTTATAAATATTAAATCGACATAAAAACTTATTAAATGAGTATTATTATGGAACATAATGAAAGAAGAAATTATGAACAATTTTCTTACCTAATGATTGTTTTCGTAATTTTCTATAATCATTTAATAAAGGTTCGAGATTTTGATAAATTTCAATTGATGTTCCCACGAGTCTCAAGTAAAATGCACTAAGAGCTCGTAAATACCTAATTAAAAGGAATATTTCTGTTTCAATTTAATGTTGAAAACATTTGAAAATGTTCAGTAAAAAAAAAATAGTTAAAATCGAAAGTTTGATACTCACTTAAAATCTTCATTCCGAATAAATTCTATAATAATTTCTTTACTTGGTTGTAATTGAAGTAATTTCAAAGTTAAACAAAGAAATTCAGTTGGTTTTTGATTTCCATATTGACCTCCGAAACTAGATAGTACGGCCGCTCGATCAACTAACGTCTCAGCTATTTTTTTTAAAAAAAATGAAGTCAAAATTTTAATCTCAACCAAAATCAAATATATATATGTATTTCATTTACCAGTTAAACCAAAACATGATTCTTTCCAATAAAGACATTCATAAATTCTTGTTCTTATTATCTTTTCAATAAGATATTGAGGATTTGTTCCATGTACCGCAATCGCGTCTGAAACGGTACGATTTGCCATTTTTTTTTTTTGTCAAAAAAAATTATAAAATTTTTTTTTTTATTATAAATGTTCACGAGATTTAATGTTCACGAGATTTGACGTTCACGAGATTTAATGTTTGAGGTTGATTTATAAAGTATATCTTTTTTATCTTTTACCACTATGTAAAAATGCAATCTCGTTTTGTTTCAATGATAAAAGTGTTTCCTAGATACACCCATTCTTTTCAGAATCACATCGTTCCTGTTCGACGCCTAATATCATTTAATAACAAAAATGTACGATTTGCTAGGGAAACATCCATCTTGAAAGTTCTTCCAAACAATAGTACCAACAATAAGTTATATAGAAATTCCGGGAATTTGAATCTCAAACATGGTAATTATAAAATTAATTGATTCTTTGTGAATTTTCAAACACTTAATAATAATGATAATAATAATAATAATAATAATAATTTTAACATTGCATGAATTTTTAGTCCGTTCTATGTTTATTCAAACGGAGACTACTCCAAATCAAAATTCTTTAAAATTTATTCCCGGAATTCCAGTAATGTCAGGAAATAATACAGCAGAATTTTTATCAGCGAATTCAGCGGCCACTTCACCACTCGTTAAAAAACTTTTTCAAATAGAAGGAGTATCTGAAGTATTTTTGGGTCCAGATTTCATTACAATTAATAAGGATCCAGAAACTCCTTGGCAATTAATGAAACCCGATATATATGCGAATATTATGGATTTTTATTCTTCTTATTCTAAAGGCGAACCAATTCCAATTATAATGGAAGCTCAACCTTCAGATACCGAAATAAAGGATGATGATCCTGAAGTGGTAAAAATGATTAAAGAACTTTTAGATACTAGAATAAGACCTGCTATACAAGATGATGGTGGCGATATTGAATATCGTGGATATAAAGATGGAATTGTTAAACTAAAATTAAAAGGTGCTTGTAGATCTTGCGATTCTTCAGTGGTAACACTTAAAAGTGGAATCGAAAATATGTTGATGCATTACATTCCAGAAGTAACAAGTGTAGAACAGGTTTTAGATGATGATGAAAAAGTTTCACGCCACGAATTCGAAATGTTGGAAAAGAAGTTAGGAATAGCTTAATAGCTTTAGAGATAAATTTTAAAATAAAATAAAGAAAATTTTTATTTAATTTATACGTTTTTTAATACATAATTATTTAAATTATTATTTCAAAATAACAATTTCTAAAATGTGAAATAATGTAAAACAGTTTTATTAATATATATAAAAATAAAATTAAAATTAAAAATTAAAATTAAATTTTATATTTTGTTAATTCTAAATGGTTTTGGAAATTATTAAATGAAGAGCTTTTTTTTTTTTATGAAGTTCCTTCGTACTCGGGTTGATTAGTGGCGAAAAGTTGAGTATACATTCGTACCAACGATTCATATCCCATAAAATCACCACATCTAAGTAAATTTGCTATGAAATAATTCATTTAAGAAAATTTAATAACTTTTGAAAATTCTTCCACATAACCTTTAAGCAACTTAAAATTATAATAAAATTTTTTTTCATACCTGCATCACAATTTAATGGACTAGTAGGTTCTGGATTTGATAATAATAATCTAATTGCCATACAAGCAGATTGTAAAGTCCAAGCAGGACTCCAGGCTGTTTTTAAAATGTCCAAACATATTTCCCCTGTCTAATATAAAAGAAGAAAAAATCATTGAATATTTCAGAAATAGTTATTGGATTTTTTGACATTTATTTGGTCTTCTTACCTTGAAAGCTATATTAGGGTGACAGATCTTGGTCAAAAATTTAATCCTTGGTGGATGAATCGGATATGTTTTTGGTATTTCTATACGCAAAGTCCAATTCCCGCCTAATGTTAAAAATATAGATAAATGATTAAATTGATTTTCAGTATAGGTAACTTGGTATGAAAAATAGCACTTCTGTACCTTCATAAGGCGTATCAACTTCCCCTCGCAAAACTGCTTTCCAAATTAAAAGGTTGTCGTCTTGTACGGGAGATAATTCAGCAAGATCAGGGTTAGGCTCTTTTTGATAGTCTTTAAGTTCTTTTATTAGCCTTCGCGAAACTGGGTCTACCATTATTCTAAATTGTAAAAATATAGTTGAATCGACCGTGTTTATTAAAATTACTTTTCCTTTACATTTGATATAAAATGCGGAGATTTACACAAAACTGTAATAATCAAGTGGATTTGTAATACGAAAAGTGCGGTTTATCTGAAATCAGTGTAACGGTTCTGTCAGTAGCTCACATTTCTTAACAAAACCACCTTTTTTACAACCTGGCTCAGAACAATACTACTTACCAAAGTGCGCACAAAATCCAAGAGACGTATGACGTCTCAGTTGAAACATTGCGACGATGGGCCGACTCCGGAAGAATTGCTATTGTCAGAACACCTGGTGGAAAACGACTCTATTCAATTACTGACATACAAGAAATCTTTAGAGATAACCAACAGACACAAATCACGCAAAAGGCCAAGATCTGTTACGCCAGAGTCAGTTCAGAACATCAACGAGACGACCTTGAACGACAAATCGCAAATCTTTGACAATACTACCCAGAATATGAAATCATCAGTGATATCGGATCAGGACTTAACTGGAAACGCAGGAGGTTTGTTGCCCTTTTGGAACGAATACACACAGAAGGAATTGAAGAAGTGGTGGTTACCCAAAAGGTTTAATTTTTTTTATTTACTCTGATTTTTATTGCCTTTATTATTTTACTAACTTTTTTTATTAGGACCGATTGTGCCGATTTGGATCCGAGCTTGTGGAATGGATCTTTGAGAAAAATGGGACTCGGCTCGTGGTACTCGGTACGGATGTCAGTGCCGAAAGTAGTGAAGCCAGAGAACTTGCGGAAGACTTACTCTCAATCGTCACGGTATTTGTGGCAAGACATAATGGAATGCATTCCAGAAGAAGACAAGAAGTTGCCAAAGCCCAAGAAGAACAAGATCTCCAAGATTCCAGCAGGTAAGACACAACGTATCCGTCTCTTTCCTACGCAAGAGGAGAAGCCAAAACTCAAATGCTGGATGGGAACAGCGCGATGGACTTACAATCGGTGTCTTGTAGCAGTTGAAAAAGAGGTATCGAGCAGACAAAAAAGCTCTATGAGCACAGTGTCTCAATGCCGCAAACTTCAATAATACTGAACTTCAATGGGTCCTTGAAACTCCTTACGATATTCGCGATGAAGCGATGAATGATTTACTTAAATCATATTCATCAAATTTTGCTATAAAACGGATGAAATTTAAGATGAAATTTCGATCTAAGAAAGATAAACAACAATCTATTACAATTCTATCAAAACATTGGGGTAAATCTAGAGGAGTTTATACATTTCTTTGTAAGATGAAGTCAGCCGAAAATCTCCCAGCAGAGCTCCATTACGATGCACGACTTGTGATGAATCGGCTTGGAGAATTTTATCTTTGTATTCCTCAACCACTCGAGATATGGGCCGAAAATCAAGGTCCTACACAATCAGATGCAGTGATCGCTCTAGATCCAGGTGTACGAACATTTATAACTGGATACGATCCAAGTGGAAAAGCTGTAGAATGGGGCAAAAATGATATTAGTAGAATTTATCGGCTTTCTCACATATATGACAAGATTCAAAGCACACATGACTCTATTCATGGAAAGTACACAAATGAAAATGCTATAAACTTCAGGGTCATGCTTCGTATACATAAAAAAATCTGTTGTCTTATTAATGATTGTCACCATAAACTTGTCAAATGGCTGTGTCAAAGTTATCGTATTATTTTGTTACCCGAGTTTAAAACACAGGGAATGGTTAGGCGTGGGAAACGGCGGATTCGTTCTAAGACTGCACGGATGATGTTAACATGGTCCCACTTCCGATTCCGCCAATATCTTCTACATAAAGTTCGTGAATGTACTGAAGAATATATCAGTAAGACATGTGGGTGCTGTGGTCATATCCATCAAAAATTGGGTGGATCCAAAGTGTTTCGTTGCCCAAGTTGTACAGCTGAGCTTGATCGGGGTATCAACGGTGCTCGCAATATACTACTTCGCTATCTTACCGTTACATCTAAAGAGCCGGTTTATGCCGGCGCTGGGACCTACCCCCTGGGACCTTCATGATCCTTGCAGAACACGTATATTTCCTTATTGGGCATGATCAGAAATGTGATGTTTGATTATTTTCATAATATCACGTTCCTCTTTTTGTTCACGTGATAAACCTTATTTTATTCAAAATTTTCCGGGAAGAATTTAAATTTTCGAAAAAACAATGCTATTTATTAAATTATAATACAAACATAATCAACATAACTACAATTAAGAAAAATGATATAATAATAATATATATAAATTAAAATACAAATTCTATATTCCAAAACAAAATAAATAAGTAAAACCCAAACAAGGAATAAATAATCTATATTTTAAAGTGAGTATATATGCCAATTGAATAATAATTTTGAAAGTGAATATATATATATATATATATATATATATGCTAATGATAATAATATTAGTAATAATTTTTTAAAATGAGTATATATGCCAATATAATAATATTAGTAATATTATTTAAAGATTCATATAAATTATATAAATTATATAAATTTATATAAATTGTTCATGTAATTTTTGTATATAAAAATTCATTATTAAAAGGAGGTCGTTTAATTTGATTTTTCATCGTCACTATAATCTTCATTTAGTACTAAAGTGCCCATGAAAATTTCTTCTATAACATCCATAGGCGATTTATCATAAACTTTTCGAAGGAAAGAATTTACCGTTAAAGATGAAGTTATTGGGGTGACATGAGTGGAGTGAGTATAATACGCTGATCTCTGTGAATTTAGGATAAATTAAGATTATTAAGATTATTATCACATCATAATTGACAAATGGCAAAAACTTGAACTACAAACCAATGAAGTTGTTGATCGAGAACGAGCCATGTAGTGATTTCCAAAATTTGGTCTTAATCTTCGAGCTAAAAGTTATTTAATTTTTGTAAAAGATCGTTAAATTTCAATTACAAAAAAAAATATAAATGTAAATGTGTATATATATTAGATATATTTTTTACTTTCGTCATCCTGACGTTCTGCTTGTTCTGATATTATTCCTGCTAAACCTCCAAATATTTGGGTTTTCTTGAGGGTAGGACTGGATAATAATAATAATAATAATAAATGTTTTAAACCAATATACATAAAATGCTTTAAGTATATAGATGAACGTACACTTTAAAGACTACGTCACCAAAAGTTTGTTTAGTGTTGATCGTCAACTAAAGAGAAGAAAGAAAAAAAATTATTCATCAACTTCTAAACTGAGATGTCAAAAAATAATCCAAAAATACAATTAAATTAATAATACTTTGAGAGTCGAATTGATCTTGCTGTCTTGAAGTAAATAACGTCGAGTCATTGAATTAGATCCAACGTATTCGGAAATATTAAGTGATAATTTTCCGATGTTAATTATTTCTTTAACACCATTTAATTCCTAATGTAGATAAGTAAAAGATAGATATCAAAATCAAGAGCAATATACCCTACTAAACTGCCTGAAGCAGAGGAAAGAAATATTAAACATAAACAATAATTTACTTGTTTTATAGTGAATCGCATTTCGCAAGGCATTAGAAACCCATTTTTCCCTATAATAAGCTGTATCGTATTCCGCAACTTATAATTCCAAAAAACACTGTGGTCTTTTATTGGTGCTCTGCCATTAGAAGAAAAGAAAAAACACACTTTTTTTAAACCAAGGTCATAAAACTTTATTTAAAACTTTATTTACATACAAACCTCTCTGTCAAACTTTGAGATTTTTCGCTATTTTTTAATTTCCATTTCACATAATAAAGTCCAGTTACCAAAGGAACGTTGGTTAACTCATGAATTATGACTTCTATTTCAAACTCTACTTTACGGTTTCGAGGAATAAATAATAATGATAATGAAGACATGTTTGATATAACTAGAAAGACATTTGTAATACATTTAAAATTTATCAGTACAGTTGTGCAATCAAGTCGTGCAATTTTTTTTATTAAAGTTTTAACTAAAATAGAAATAAGATAACCCAATAACTGAACAACCAAGCAACCTTCGTTATCAAAGAAAAAAAATAAAATTACCTTTACATCTAGACAGTAAAGGATTAAAGTTTTTTTTGATTAGAAATATATGATAATTTGATTTTCTACTAAAAATCTAATTAAAAGCGATAATATTGATGTCCCAACAATTCTTAAAACAATTTTTAATTAGAGAATTGATGATGAAAAAACACGATAACTTTGAAACCTAACTCGAAAATTTTAAAAATCTCGTTAAATGAAATATAAATTTAGTATCTAGAATCAAAAATCCCGTTAATTGAGGATCGAATAGTTAATCTAACTCAAAATCCCTTGCTAAAAAATTGATACTGAAATATTAAGATAATTCAAAATCCTATGTTAAGGGATTGAAGATGAAAATATTTAAGATAATTAACTCAGAATCCCTCCATTAAAAGATTTAAGAAGATTGTCGAAATATTGATGATAAAATATTAAGATAATAAATTTTTAAATCTACCGTTAAGAATTTGATGATGAAAAATTAAGATAGCAAATATAAAAACTCAAAAACTCGAAAAAAAAAAAATTAATAATAATATCAAAATATCATTTAAAGAAATATGTCAATTTGTTAGAACTTTTTTAACGGCGATGATAGCCCTTGTACCACCACCATTCGCGGCATGACATTCTTGCGTTAATCATTGGATTATTTAATGGGACTGGCTCAGGTGGATTGTCAAATAAGCCGAGAGCCGGGTCAGGACTTTCAACTTTACCGGATTTAGCGTCAGGGAATTCGAGGTGTGGAGTTTCACTTTGGTTATTACCAAACATATCGCGTGTAAAGTCGTGGCAACCATCGATTGACGGCATATTACGGAAGAAGTATGTGAGCATCACTTCCGCTTGTTGCCTTTCCTGAACGTTATATCGGAATTTATTTAACTAAAAAAAAATTTATGGAAATCAATCAATAAACTAAATTCTTTTGATTACATCCTTGTAATTATTATTTAAATTAAAAAGTTTTTTACCGTTTGCTTCATATCCGCCCAATATTTAACCTTTCTTGCAGCCTTTTGGACGATTAATTCCTTCTTCTTCTCTTCCTCACGCGTTGCCTCGGCTCTCTTGCGCTCCTCTTCTTGTCTTTCAAGTTCTTGTTTTCTTAAAATCGCCATAGATTCCTCGTGGCATTTCTTTTTAAGCTCCTCAAATTTTCGTCGTTCCTCCTTATAAATAAAAAAATATGTGAATATAATGATAAAAAATAATAATAAAATAGATAATCAAATTTCAAATATCTTTACCTCTCTTTTTTCTCGGAGATCCGCATACAAATAATCCAGATGTGGATCCGCAAGCTTGAGGTGATCACTCGCAAAGGGGTCCATATAATAAGTTTGAGGCTGCGCGTATTTATAGATTGGTACAGATGCATCCACACGTATAATTGGAGAATTACCATCGTCTTGATCATCTTGACGTGGTTCAGTTGAAGGTGACGGATGCGAAGAAGAAGGGGATAATTCAGGAGGCTCTGATGTATTAACCCGCTCGCACTCTTTTCCTTTAGCTAATCCTTCAACTCTTTGTGTTCTCTCTATGGCTTTCCCCTTCCTTTTGTCTACTTTATTCGTGGAAGCCTTTCTTCGTGCCGTTATCGTTGGAATTTTCTTTGAAGCTTTGATTGACACATCGACCTTTCTTCTTCTCTTGGCTGGTGGGAGCTTCATTAAGGTCGAAAATTTTGTTTATTCAAGAAAGAAGATAATAGTTCTATCTATTAATATTAAAACACAAATTATATACCTTTCGTGCGCCTTTTAAATATCATTTTTGTAATACGATTGAAACCGAATGCAATAAATAAAAAGTAATATGAGTAATGCAAACAAATAAAAATTTCTGATTGGAAGAAAAAAATTTTTTTATCCTAGACAGTTTCACTACCTGTTTCCTCGGAATCTGTTTCCGATGAATTGCTACTTTGAGGATCATAGGCTTCTTCTGCTGAGTCATAATAACCAACATTTTTAATATTTTTTAAAAAAAATACTATTTAGTCATCGACGATTTTATAAGACGTAAAACATACGTTGCGGTTTTGGAGATTCATCATCAGACCGTGATCTCTTTAATGTGGACACTTTTTCTTTCCCCTTGCCCTTGTTTGTACAATTCACAACAAATTCATACATGATTCTAGCAGTTTTAACATCGAGTGCATCAATTTCGAGTTCGTATCCCTCGCTACCGTTCTATATTAATAAAATAAAGTTGAAAGTATAGTTCTGAAACGAAACAATTTAATGTAAAATAATTTAAAGCTGTTATTACCTCCAGTTCACCCCCCCTTTTCTTAATTATATTCACCAGTTCGCTCATCTTCTCATCAGATAAGAGTTCGATCTTTTGTTCAATTTCAGCTACTTGTTCTTCGGTTAAAGGTTCATCTTCATCAACGTCTGATAACATTTCAGAATTTATGGATGATCTTGAGCTCTTATCTGAAGGCTGTGACGGTTGAACCTGGCCAGATCGAACCACAGAAGGACCGGCGATACTTTTCCTCTTTGCACTAGTAAGCTTTTTCGTCTGAGATATCTGACTTGATAAATCGGATAAGTGTCTCTGTAAAGCCCTTAAATGATCCCCTATTGCAAAACAATAAAGAGTATTTAGTTAAAGAAAGTGCTAAAAAATTATAGAATATTTAATAAAATAATTACTTTCGCCTGTTTCCGATTCACTTCCGGACTCAATGGTATCTTCCATATTTGGTGATGGTCTTTCGCTCCATTTTTTCTCGAATACACTCTCTAACATCTTCCCCATTTTATAAACATCACTTTTTTGATCATTATATGCATAACAATTTTTGAAAATCTGACGAACGTCTGATTCGAATCCTTCTGAATTCTTATATTGGTCTGCGTCCAATTTGGAGCCAATGGTTGATAGGTCCATAGGATTTGTTATGATCTTGTAATAATCCGGAACTCTTAGAGCTTCCGCATCGACAGGTTCATAAAATGGGTATGCGTAGTGCCAGTGTGTTCGCTTTCTGAGCTCTTGGAGAACCTTCCGACAAAAGTTGAGTTCGTTGTTCTTTTTACGGCCATTTTTGGGACGAGAGGAAGGACTGGCGATCACAACTGGATTAGAGACCTTAGTAGACGGCTCCGCGGGGGCTTTCAAATTCTAAACAATAAAAAAAAATTCAAAATAAGAATCGGGAACAACAAAAAAAGTCACATTCAATCGAATACCAATTCACCTCATTCTTTGTCTCAAAGAACTTGGAGATAAAGGCATCAAATTCATCATTCAATTGCTTGGCATAAATTGAATATTGATGAGCAACTCCGTTGTATAGAGTGCAATTAGAGAATGTGAGTTTCACGTCATTGATAAATTCGTTGACAAATGAATACTCTATTTTATTTAGCTTCGCATGAACTGTTCCCAAGTCCATCGGCTTTTTGATAATGTCAAAATAATCGGGGATTCCATATTTCACCGGATCCACGGGTTCAAGAAAAGGAGCTGTATGAGAATGGCGCTTTAAAGTTTTGATGATTTCAATACATTTTCTTAAATTTTCACGAGACATAGGATCCGTAAGCCGATTTGTTTGTGTTTGCATTCTATAAGAATGAGTGAAAAGAATGAAGTTACAGATTTCGAACATTACAATCAAATGCATAACGAAGTTCCGTACAAGTTATGCCCATAAACGAAAATAAACAAATAAGTAAACGAAAACAGACAACAATGTAGGTAAAAACAAAAAACAAGAAGATAAGACGCCCATTTAAAATAAAAAATTTTTGCCCGTAAATAAAATGACAATCTCAAGAGATTAACAATTTTATCTTATGCACATACCTCACAACATTGTTCACATTTGTTGAAGGATAAGGATTCTCAGTAGAACGGGTTTTAGAAGCTTGTTTCTTACTTTTTCCCATTTCTGAACGTTGCGAGAGAGAGTGAGAAATGAAAGAAATTAATGGAAAAAATAATTTTATATTGTATGAAAAACGGGGATAAAAACAAAAAAAGGGAACCAATTGCTTTGTTCTCTCTCTTTTTTTTGAATTCTGATTGGTTAAATTAAATTAATTTTACACGTGAATTCGATACCCTGTACATACTATTGTTATCCTCTAAAGGAATTTTTAAATCAGTTATCTTTTAAAAAAATTAGATGATAATTTAATAAATAGTAACTTAAATAAAATAAGTACTTGAATTATACATGTATACATTTAATTTTGGAATATAGTTATTTACATAGTTAATACTCCTAAGAAGTCAAGTTAACCTAGTAATCTAATTTGAATCAACATCTTAAACTTTTTAACTCTTTAATTTTATTAATAATTTTAATTAAACCAATAATTCTAAACCTAGTTAAATAATTATAAATTTTACCTATAACAAAAATCTTTTTAAATTTTGTCTTTAATTTAATCCATTATACTATAACTGTTTTACCTTTTAAACTTTTTAGTTCAAATTATTAGATTATACTATTCTATAAATTTAAGAGATATTCAAGAGATATTCAAGAGATATTCAAGAGATAAAGGTAGAACTCTGAATATACAAACTCGCATATACATGCTTCCCAAATCCCAAATTATTTTGGCATTTCGGCTGCCAAAATTCAGTTTTCATAGTATTTGAGATTTGGCATAATTTGGGATTTAGGATTTTGGCAATTAGTAATTTGGAATTTGGGATTTAGCATTTTGAATTTGGGCGGCACCTATAAACTCGCATATGATTTACATACATATTAAAAACATAATAAAATTTCCAATTTTTTGATTTGGTAATTTGATTCATTAAAAGCACTAAATAAAGGTTATAATTTTTTAATGTAGAATCAAAACCTGAATTATAGATATTACAATATTTAAAAACTGTTATTTTAATTACTTAATATACAGTATATTAAAATGATTGTTTTTTGTACCTGCCATTCAAATTTAAATTCTAAATGTCAAAATTCCAAATTCCAAATTATAATTAATATTTTTTGTTAAAATCAATAAAATCTTAAATCAATTTCAAATTATTTGAAATTTGGATAACAGATATATTGTTTTCTAGTTTATTTTATATATATTTTATTACTATTGTAAAGAAAGTTTTTTTCATTAATAATTATTAGTTATTGTAATATTTAATATAAAAACTATATTTTGCAATAACAATTAAAATAAATTAATTATTAATTTATATTTTATACAAAGATACCTGTTGTAATATTTACAAGAGTTGTAACTGGTTATAATTAATTATATCATATATTTAATTAATTATACTATATGTCACAATTGATTATGTCACTTTTTAAAATTATAACAAGGTATCACTAATTTTATAACTAAAGATAATACTACAATTATAAATTACATTATTACTTGTATCATAATAATTAAGGATTTTATTGTAATTTTGTAATTTATATAATTATTTTATAATTATTTTATAATTTTGTAAATTATGTAAATCATTTGCAATTATAAAAATCTTTTTCAACTATAATATTAATTTACAATTAATAATAAAAATTGATACTAGGAAAATTTAAGTTAAAAATAAATATATATTTACTATAAAAATTTCAAATACATCTTAACTTGACAAATGTTTTAATTTTTGATTACAGATTTTATACAATAATTCACAAAAGTAATACATCATCTAATTTTTTGGTTTTAAAAAATTTTAACACCTAAAAAATAGATTTTAAAACAATAGTTACTATATATATTTTAATTTTTAATTTTGAATTTTTTTTTAAAAAAATGTTTTTAATATTAAATTTATAATCTTAATTTGTATAAATAAGTGATCTATATTAAAAATTGTTAATAAAATTTTACACAGAATAATTATAGTCAAAGTAATTATAAAGTTAATTGTCCTTTCTAAAAAGAATAAATACATCTTAAAAATTGAAATTTTATATATAAAAAATTTTATTTATTTATTTTATATATTAAATTTCAATTTTTAAAAATTAATTATCACTAATTCAATTGTTATGAAATTTGACATGCTTATTCTCTTTAGTAAGGACTATTAACCTTATAATCATCTTGGCTATAATTATCCTGTATAAAATTTTATCTATTTATGCAAAATTGGGATTATAAATTTGATATCAAAAACATCTTATAAAAATCTTCAAAACTCAAAGATTAAATATGTATAATAACTATTATTCAAGAGCTAAAATTTTTTAAAGACAAAAAATCAGGTGTTGCAATATATTCATAAGTCACTGTAGGTAATTTCTTTCCTGAATATGTAATATAAAAAAAAAAATTTGAAAGTACAAACTGCACTGATTCTTGATTAATATTTGATCAATTATCAAATCCTATATAAATTTTGTGTTAATAAAATTTCTTTATCAGATTCTTTTAAAAAACCTTGCTTAATAATTCAGTTACAATTTTTTTTTATTATAATTTGAAAGAAAGACAAATATTTTGAAAAAAATAAAATAAAGAATATTCCTGCTGCAAACATAAATTTAAGTTTTTCAGTTACATGATTAACAAAATTTTTTATTGTAGTTATTTTTTGACTAGATACAGATGTACTAGTTTTGTTTAATTGCTTATTGTTAAAAAATGTATTTGCCTTTTTCTTCAGTTTTGCATTATTGGATCCTGTACAGTGTTTATATAGTCACCTATTTTTTTTTACTGAAGGTGTAATAGTATAATTATAATTATAAAATACCAATTATACCGTTATTATATCAGGTTTATTATGGTAAAATAACCCCCATAGAATTTGGATGTTATAACCTTTTTAAAATTTATTTTTTTGAATTTGACGACATGTAATATATAGCTTTGAATCAATATGTTATCAAGAATTATAAAGCCAGAATGTTAACAACTAGTTGCACCCCTTTTATATTTTATTAATCACCAGAAATTTTTTATGGCGATGTCTCTGCCAATTACACAAATTACACAACAGTATAAAAAAGACGCGTAAAACTTGCATGCAAGTACATAAATATTACTATATATATATAGATATATATATATTTTAAAAGTCTCCTTTTTCTTTAAAAAAATTCAATTTATTCCCGATAAAATATGACGCTCGACAAGTTGTAAATTACAGAAGATAAAGTAACAAAGTAATGAATAGAAACTAAATTTGAAACGGTTTACGAACAGCGGTATAAAATATTATCAATGACCGCGATATTTGGTCATACAGAACACTTACAAAATTTTTACAAATTCAACATTGACGAAATTCGAAAAAATTGAGCAGAAATTGTCACGAATCATCATTGATCAAAATCATTTTAGAAATCGGCAGTATGAAAGTAATTTATTATATAATCTGAAAACATTTATAAAAAAAAAATGCAACATAACTCAATTTAAAAAAAAGGTAAAAAAAAATATAAACATGTGTCAAAACATCCCAAAAATATCACATCCAACATTGAAACTCTGAATTCTACAATATTGCGAAAATCGATATAAATTCTTTGAGAATTTCTGTAAATATTTTTATGAAATGGTAATTATATTTTGTGTAAGAAAGTTAATTGATAATAATTTAATTAAATCGAATTTTACCTTTACATTGTTGCTGTTAATCTTTTTTCAAGTCGGCACGTTCACCGTGGACACGGAATCGGTATAAACAAGTATATTTGGGATTATCCCAATTATTTCTCACCTTTAGAATAACTGCTATTATAGGTTTGTCAACTTTATTCACATCAAAAGTTTGTATTGGCGGACCATTAACGTCATAAACAAATCGACCCAAAAGTACTTCATATTTTGATGATGATCCAAGCTTTAATTCACCATCACCACTATCAATATCACCTTTGATATTCGAATTACTTGAATCCAAAATAATATTTGAATCTGATTCATCATCAAAATCATTATTAAATATATTTTCTTTTGTGTCTTTATTATTTTGTTCTGAAAATAATTCTTCTTCATTATTAAAAGCCTTTTCATTCCTTTTTACTTTCAAATAATCACTATTAACGATTCCGTAAACATCAAACTCTTTTGGTGCACTAGTTAAGCCCATAGCAACGTTTATGCTTACATGATCATAAGTTACTGCAGTCACATAAATTTCTCTGCTCAATAATATAGCTAATTGACCTTCTTGGCCGGTAAAAGGCCAACATTGTCCAACGTGAGTATCAGGTTGGATTGCTGTAACAGGAGGTTTACCTCTCGTAATTCCATGACCAATTGTAGAAGCCAACATTATTTTATACCATTGTGTTGGCCATTGTTCATAGGTTGGAGATGTTAAGCTGCTTAATATTTTAGCTCCACCCGAAGATAATGCAAAATCAGCTTTATTTAATTTGTCTTGAGAATAAGTATATAACATCTCTTCCACGGCTCTTTGAATTTCTTGTCTAACCATAACGACCACATTTTCATCAGGAAATACGTTTGCACGATAATTAACCATTTCCTGATTTTGTGGAGGAATTCTCTTTTGAACTTCAGCGGCACATAATGTTTTAACTTTGTCAGCAACAGCTGATTTAATTAAAGCATCATTGTGTTCAAGTCCAATATTACCGTTATCACTTATTAAATCAAAATTTATTATTTCCGGTGTTTGATTTCCTTCATTTATATATTTAATACTAAGACAAAGTGTAAAAAAAGCCAGTATCATTGTTAATATATAAAAATGTCCTCCACGTTCGAATGAAGAGAATGAAGTAGTAGTAGTGGTGGTAGAGGTAGAAGTATTAGTAGAAGTAGAAGTAGAACGTACTTCATTCGATGATTGATTCATTCTTTGAGAAGAATTACCACACATTACCCTAATAGAATTATTTACAAATTCAGACATGAAATTCCGAAATCTGCTTATTTCAGTACTACTTCCACGTGCACTAGTTCTAAAAGGTTCAATAATATATCCTAATCCTAATCTGCCAATGATCCAATTTATCGATATTTTAATAGCATTCCAAATATGGTGGAAGTAACTTTCATTCATTTCTGGGATCTGATCTTCATTTTGCGTCGTTTGTTGTTGATCTTGTTCAATCTGTTCAATTACATCACCAGAATTATCATCGATTCCAGAAATCGGTCTCATTTCATATCCACTGTCATCGTCATCATCTTCTTTATTTTCAGGTTGACTATCATCCCAATAATCACTATCTTCATTTACGGTTTCATATGATGATTGATAAGGAGAATGAGATTCTGAATGTATAAAAGGTGAGGAACTACGTGATTGGCTAATTATACTACTATGGATAGATAAACCAGATTCAGTTCTACTAAATGATACATCTCTTGATATACAAGGTGTTACATAAGGAGTTATATTAAGTGATATATTAGATATATTAGAAGATTCTCGTGATTGTCCACCAAGAGAAGATCCCTCCGAATTGATAATCAACATATTTGGGTAATTATCTTCAGTCGAAGAAGATTTCATAGAAATATTTTCAGATGATTGAGGTTCAGTATTTTCAGTATTCCAAGCATTACCGTCTTCAGTACTATAACTGGACATAGTAAAGTGGCTGAGACTTGGATATGAAGAATTAGGTTGATTCTGATCGTTTAATGGTGGTTTTTGAGCTATATTTAAAGTATTGACAGGATATTCACTTGGAATACTTGAAATTGATATATCAAATGATGACATTTGAGGTGGTTCACTTTTTGGAGTGTTTTTTGAAGCTTTGTGAGTCGCTTTATGACTTGATTTAGAAGTAGATTTACGACGATTTGCTCGCTCCATAATTCCGGTAGAAGGTGAGTATCGGTTAGATTTAAGGTGAGTTTGTTCCAATGACATTATTCTTCTTAAATTGCAGGCAACCAATTCCCACTAAATTTCACTGAATTCGCAAGATATGAGCCACACTAGAGAAAATTGAGTTCCCTTTTTTTACACGCGTTCAAACAAAATAAAATAACACGTGATATAAGTATATTGACCAATAAATCGATGGGAAAATAAATAACAAAATATTTTCACACAGAATTACAGAATTTGAAATTATTATTATTATTAAAAATTTCGATTATGAGATTTATGAGATAAGAGAGTTTAGTGAACAGCTTTTTTGAATGCATCTTCAAAACTAGAGTGGCTAATGTACTAATACAAGTGTGATTTTATTTGTTATTATTATTATTTATTTTTCTTTGTTCTCTTGTTTTTCGCTTTTGTTATAATTAAAGTTCAACAAAAAAATTATTATAAATTTAGTTAGTCGCCTAAAAATAAAAAATAGTGTAATTTTTTTTTTTACTTTTCTAACTCTTAACTCTTAACTCTTAACTCTTAACTCTAATTCATTCAAATTCTCTCTAAATCCTCTCTCATTCATTCAAATCCCCTCTAATTGGAAACTTGATTGTCATATATTGTATATATTGTGTTTTAAATCTAGAATTGGAAATTTGATTGTCATATCTAGTGGTTTTTATTTCATTCTTGTGATAATCTTGATAATCTCGTGATACATTTACGAATTAAAAATAAATCCGATATAACAAATTTTAATGGTGTACCATGCGACAATTTGATCTTAAATCAAGTATCACTGATCATAACGTGGAAAGCAATTGCAGTAATTACATTATTATCATTGATAAAAAAGTAAAAAGTCTATTAATTGTATGATGCTTTGTCACACTTGATACTTATGTAATGAAATCTCTGTATAACGTGAACTATTCGAAGACGACGCGAATTATAATTATAACAAAATATTAGAAGATGCTTATTCACGTTTTGAAGTTTATCGAAACAATTATGAGAACGAATAACAACAGGAGCAACAAAAAGGAGATGAAGAAAGAGAAACCAAAATATTTCAGTTTATTCATTATTTTTAGGCAATGAGATAAAGAAAATACTGGAAATTATTTCTAACAACAATAATAATGATACTGATAAAAATTATGAAAATTTTTACTATCGTGTACCTTGATATTGTTATATATTTCCTATTTTCGCTCTATTCGGTCCATTCAGTCTATTCACTCATGTGTTATCTTAGCACATACATTAATTTTTTTTTTTGATTTTCTATTTTGCACCGTGTGATTTGTACATCATTTTCTCTTGATGCTAGAATTCAAGCAATTAATGTTTAGAGTGGTTTTATAATCCCCTAAACTTTATGAAAGATGTTGATCCTTGTACTGTTTTTTTATAGTTCATACTTACTCAGAATCATCAAAAAATATCGAAGTTATCCTTAAAGAATAGAATCAAATGATGATGCAAAATAGTTGTTAAAATTCTAATATTGAACGTAAGGTGAGTAATTTTATTTAGTACACAACACACATATATTTACATATATTTGTATATATTATGGAGATGTTCATCTTTACTAACCTTCTTAAGTAAGGGATTTTAACTTTATTAAATAAAACGATGTCTTATGCGTTTGGGTAAATCTCTCAACTTTGTATTCTGAATGTAAATTTTTTGCTTATAGATACATTTACTTCCCAATAAACTTTCCATTCATCTTCTTAACCGTTTATGTTTAAGGGGAAACCGAAGTAAAAACTGATAAGGGTGGCAATATTAAATAATTTTAGTTCCGAGCAATTGGTATATTATTATATGTGAAAGTTGATTTTTATATTTCAGGTCAAAAAAAGTGGATTTGTGTAAGTTGTTATCTGTACACCGTGATGAAAGCCTGTCGAAGTTTTTAGGATTTATGAAAAATGTCATTCAAAACTTCCAGGCAAATATTTCTACAGATGACTTATACGCGATCGTAAGTTTTTATTATTTTTATGTACGTGAGTATAATATATAAAATCTTTATTTATTATCTCATGAAAAAAACTGAAATCTCTGAGACTTAAAAGTGTTGTTGTCGTTTTGTAGCAGAACCAATAATAACTACAACAATTATAATCATAATGATGGTGATGAAAATGTAATGATAAAGGCTGTTCTCTTGAAATTTACTCAAGAATCATAAGAACTTATAAGAGAGTGCGTTGAAAAGTCAACCAAAGACAATTTAATTTTTAATAATTTATTGTCCGGAGCATTATATGTCTAGCCTTAGTAATAGTTCTTCGTGACAGTCGATATTGAGTTTAATTCAAACATTATTTCCGTTGTCAATGATTTAGATGGTAAAATAATTCGTGAGTAGGTTGACTCCCCAACTCTTAAATCAGTTTCACTGTAACTATCACATAGTTGGATTTATCATAAACTGCATCGAGGATGGACTTCTTCTTTTTTGTATGTTTATATTTTTTTTTTGATACCTGATATGTTTAATTCTATTCTATTTTTTTTTTCTTTTAATAATAATTTCTAGCTATTGGTGACTAATGCTAATCATTCTTTTGATCAAAAATTATTATTACAAATTGTCATTCATTGAATTACAGCGATTATTCTGAAGGTCTTAGAAATTACAAAAAAAGATACGAAATGATAATATGAATGATGATATAGGGGACGATATTGACAACATGCATGAAATGTAATGGGAACTACAGAAAGAGATGCAGAATGTTCGAGTATATGAGACTGAAGCACTATTCAATGAAGGTGTGACAGCTATGAAATAATTGAGTCACAGTTCTGGAAAGATAATGATCTAATCAAAGAAACCGATAATAAACAACAATTCTTGATGAAGGATCTCTTTGTTATTGACAACCATTATCTTCATCGTCGCCATCATCGTCACATAATTATAATTTGATGATAATATTTATATTGATACTTTTAACGGTATCGTTAATAATTCAATTAAACAAGACGATATTCAAAATTGGTTGGCTGAAATTCAATCAATCGAAAAGTACATTGAAAATGCAATCAATATAATTGTAATAATAATAATAATGATGAAAATGATAATGCGAATAATAATAGTAATAGTAACAGAATGTTGAACACTGAACTCAAGAAATCACTTTCAAATTTAATAAGTATTTTCGATGATGATTAGTTAAAGACACAATTAGAACTTAAATTGATAAAATTGGTAAAACTATTTGATCAGATAATTCTGGAATTTTTATTATTGTTGTTATTAATAAAAGTACAACCAATGTATAACAATTTCATAACTACAAATAATAATAAAAAATAATTAATAAAATTAATAAAATAATATTATCAAATTTAATTAAATAAATTGAAATAAAGAAATACTTCATTTCATTTTCTTTTCTTTGATTAAAAGATCATGTAAAGTCATTATTACATCTGGAGAAAATTTATTTTGTGATATCTTGTAAAGTGTTATCATGATATTAATTATTCAACTAGAGAGAGGTCTCTAGCCAGCGTAACTTCATTAATATAACACTCAACAACATGTTTCAGTGAGAATGCTCACCTTTAAATTTAAAAATAGGGATATGTTATTTGAGAAAAGGATTATTGATATCAAAAGTAAGAACGATTGAAAAGTTTTGTTCAGATATTTTGGATTTTTATATAAAATTTTTTAAGCCAGGAATAATTTTTATTGGTTGATAATCATTGTGGATCAGCAATCTTAAAAAATTAAATGATTTACATTTTGGTATAATCATGTGATAAACTAGATCGTTAATCGAAATCGTTAAAAAATAATTTAAGTATTTTTAATTTTATTTTTTATTTTCGAAGTGTTATTATATTAATCATTCATTTATATCAATAAATTTTATTTTATTTGATTAACATTATTACATTTCTTCCTCCATATTATACTATATTTTTTATTATTATATTTAATAATTAATATTACACATCTTCCTTCGTCCTTACACTGTTTATTATAAGTTCTAAATGGGATTTCTCTTCGACTCTCTAATATGCATCACGAACTCTTTCATAAGTTCATTTATAGTTAATCGTCGATTTTCAGCTGCTTTCTCCGCTTTGGTTTGCCCTGATATCTCCACTTCAATTAATTCACTATGAAAATATATTTCGAATTCATTTTCCTCAAATATAAGTTGAAAATTCCTCCACAAATTGAACGTCAGTAATTTCGCCATACCATACATCTGCTCATGAAAAATGTGATGACATGGAAGCAAATAACAAATAAACAATAGACAATTGCAATGTAACAATGTCAACCTGTGAGCAATCTTGCCTTTTTCAATTCTATTTTTGACAGCAAGTATTTGTTGAATGGGATATGAAAATTTATAGAATTCATTAAGAATTTCATCATCCAAGCTCACAACGGAAATTTTTAATACGGAATTCAAAAGCAACGTATTCTGAATCTGTACGTTTTTTTTGATCAAGTGCAACTACCTTTATGATAGGCCCCTAAATGTAATATTAAAAAAAAAATCAAGTTAATATATAATTCCCGCAAAAGTAGATGAAACTTCCAAAAAAACCCCCGAATTGGTTTTTGACCCAGGAATTTCTCATTTATAAAATATAATCCCCAAATACATACCAATTAAACCATAATGTGAAGATGTTGTTCTTTTAATTCAGAGTGATATAATTCTAACGAATTTGTCAAGATCACCTGCAAAAGAAGAGGGAATACTGGCATGCCCAAAGTGTCTATTGTTGACTATTCTTCTTGTAATATCGTGAAATATATTGCTTAATGGTTGGAACCAGACATTCATCGATTGCTTGTTGAATAAGAGCTTCACAACCAATCTTAGTTCTCTTACACATTGCTTGAATCATCTTTTGTCAAGTCTTTGCATCATATCTTTTGTTCATATCAAATGTACAATACAAAATATATAATCACATTCTTGTTCTCCATTTTTAATTTAATACTGTTTGCTTCTACGTTGCTTTGATCAAACCTTCGAATTATTATTAAAGCTTTCGCGATAGTGTCAGAATCCTCATTACTCACAATAATATGAGTACCCACATCCCAACATCCATAATTGTTACAAATATATAAGGTGAATAAACAAAATTCCATCCGCTTTTTTGAACCCCGTCTAAACATTAGAGATAAATGGCCACAAATCATTGTCGAATTCTTGTAAAGATAACTCAAGCGACCGATTAACATTGAAAAGAAGGTCGCGCCTTTGGCTCGGAGTTAGTGATTCGATTGTCATGCTTGTTATTATAAAGGGGTTTTTTTTTTACTTGTAAAAATTCTTATTAAATAATAAAATAAAATAAAACATTTTTATTACAAGATTCCTTCGTTTTCATCAGTGTTTGAAGTTCAAATTTTAAATTCTGTGAATTCCATATGCAAAAATTTGTGCGGATGCCTTTTTTTATGTGCGGAGTTTTCAATTTTGTGCTAGCGCACATTCCGCACACATAATGTAGTGGCCCTGCGATTTAATTAGTTGGTCATATGACTGAACGCGGCTTTAGACAACCCCCCATTTTTAGATTATCAAAAAAAAAAAAAGATAACTTGAAAATGTATCGTTTAAATGGTTTAAATGTTAATAGTAATAGATATAATATATCAAATTTGTTTATAAAAAATAAATTCACGACCAAATTTTACAAATTTATCACAACCATTCCTCAAGGTCAAAAAACAATTACAGAAAGTGATGCATATATCACAGATAAAAATGTTTATGTAGAAGGGAAGTTATATCCCAAAGATAAATTAACTAATGCAACATTAACAATTTTGAAAAAGTCAACGCGTCGATTACATTTACAAACCTCACATCCGATATCAATTCTTCGAACACTTATAGAAAGAAATTTTAATAAATTTCAATATTTTAATAATTTTAGTCCAATTGTTACACCCATTAAAAATTTTGATGAATTAGGATTTCCAGAGAATCATCCGGGTCGATCAACTAGTGATAGTTATTATATTAATAAAGATGTAATGTTTAGAACTCATACATCAGCACATCAACTTGAAGTATTAAAAAATTATCAAGCCGAAAAATTTTTAATTAGTGCAGATGTTTATAGAAGAGATGAAATTGATTCATGTCATTATCCAGTATTTCATCAAATGGAAGGAGTTCAAATTTTTAATAATATTAATGTAATTCAAGAAACCACACAAGATATGAAAGAAAAAGATAATAATAATAATAATAATAATAATAATAATAATAATAATAATAATAGTAAAGATAATAATAATAATAATTCCAATAATTTAATAAATTCAATTAATTCAATAGAAACAGAAGATCAAATTGTTATTGGAATAGATAATCCTATACAAACATGTCATTCAATAGAATCAGCTAATGCAATAATTTTACATTTAAAATATATATTAAATGGATTGGTTAAAATATTATTTAAAGAAGAAAAAAATTTAAAAGTTAGATTAATTAATTCATATTTTCCATTTACAAGCCCAAGTTGGGAAATGGAAGTATTTTATAGAGGAAAGTGGTTAGAAATTTGTGGATGTGGAGTTATTAAACAAGATATTCTTAATAAAGCCGGTAAATCAGATAAAATAGGATGGGCATTTGGGTTAGGATTAGAACGTATAGCCATGATATTATTTGATATACCGGATATTCGATTATTTTGGTCAACAGATCCTCGATTTTTAAATCAATTTAAATCAGAAGAAATTATCAAATTTCAATTATTTTCAAAATATCCTTCATGTTTTAAGGATATAAGTTTTTGGGCTAGTGATGAACATGAATTTCATGAAAATGATTTTTGTGAAATTGTTCGTGATGTGGCGCAAGATTTAGTTGAAGATGTGAAATTGGTTTGTAATATTTAAATTATATTTATTATATTTATTATTATATTTATTATTATATTTATTATTATATTTATTATTATATTTATCATTATATTTATCATTATATTTACATTTTTAGGTTGATGAATTCGTAAACCCAAAAACCAAGAAAAAAAGTTTTTGTTATAGAATAAATTATAGATCAATGGATAAGTAAGTTTTAAATAATATTAAAATAATAATAAATTAATAATAATAAGATATATAAAATAATAATAATATAATAATGATATATTTTATATTTAGAACATTTACAAATGAAGAAATAAACGCAATACAAGAAAAATTAAGAGACGCAGTGACGGAGAAATTGAATGTAACTTTGCGATAAAAGTTTGTTTTATATTACATTATTTAATTGTATTATTTATTATATTATTTAAATAAAATACAATATAATATAATAACAAATATTTATTTATATATACACATATTATATTATTCTAATAATTGTTCTAATTATTCTAAAATTATTATTCTTCGTGTTTATTATTAATTTTATTGTTATTAACATCAGAAAACAAATTATTAATTGTTTCTAAATCATTTAATTTATGAGCAATAATTTTATAAGTTTTATCGTCGTCATCATCATCATCATCATCATTAATCTTTATTCTCTTTCTTAATGTTTCCACTTTCTCATTATTATTACTATTATTATTATTATTATTATTATTATTATTATTATTATTATTATTATTATTATTATTATCATCATCACCGTTATTATCATTATCGTCATTATCATTATTTCCATTATTATGACGTTTTTCTTTTTGCTGCATTAACATTTTCACTTGTTCGGTTTGTCTTAATACCATTGTACTAATAAATGTTTCACGTTCATCATGAATATTTGAATATTGATTTAATTTCTCTTCATTAACTTCTGAATGAAGATTATTTGTAATCTTTTTAATTCCCAGTAGTTGATCAATCACTAAGCGTAATGTGTCTACCATTGGATTCACTATTATATTTATATGCATTATATTTATATTCATTATATTTATATATAATTAGAGTTTTTTTGATTAAAAATAAAAACATGAGAGAGAAAGAGAGAGAGACGATGTTTACCATTATGAAGTTTAGGTGTAGTTAATATAAATTCTAATTTTTCTTTCATTTGTTCCATTTTCTTAATCCGAGTTTCCGTTTTAGATTGTTCCATTTTTAGTTTATGATTCATTGCTTTTGCCTGTTATAATTAATTTTTAATACAATATAAAAATAATTAATGTAACATAAAAAAAATATAATGTACAAATAATATATATATATATATATGAATATTATATTTAAAATCTCATTTACAGCCAAAACTTTCTTTCGCATTAATTCTAATTCTTCATCAATTTGATCCTCTTTGCTTTGATCTAAAGTAAAATCTAAACCCTAAATAATGAAAATGGAGTAAATAATAATTATGAAAAAAAAACGTGAATATATATGATGAAAAACGCGAATTGTATATTATGTATATTATAAATCTTAACCTCATGATGTGGTAAAATTATTTCAAGGTTATCAGGAACAGCGAAAATATTTCTTAACGTGTAAAGTTCAAATAAATCAAAGTTATGATCTATCAGATTTTCTAATAATGTTTCTACTTGATGCATTCCCTTTAATTATTAAAAATTATTATTAAAATTTATTATTATTATTATTAAATTTATTAAAAATTATTAAATTTATCAAAAATTATTATTATTATTAAATTATCAAAATTATCATTATAATTAAATTATCATTAAAAACCTGTTCAATTTCCTCGTCAGAATTTAAATATTTGTAAATAAAATTTTCTAAGCCTATAAGTGCTTGATACAAAAGTTCATTTACTGAATCTATTACTTCGTCGATTATTGAAATTGGTGCAAATTCGAAATGTTCAATTACTAATTCTTTGTTGTCGTGTGCCATTTTTTATATTATTATTACGTGTTATAATAATTTCTATATCCTATTACTTTAATTACGTATTATAATAATTTCTATTTAATTATTATTTTGTGAAAGAAAAAATATCATACTTTTTGGCATTCGTTACGCGTTAAATTAAGTCACGTGAAATCGTTAATTTTTTTCGAAATATAAATTGTCTCGAATTATTATATTTCATACCTGTTGAATTATGATGAAGATAATAATGAGGTAAGTCTCATATATAAATATTAATTAGATTTAAGTATAAAAGGGCAAGATTTTTAATTATATTATATATAGTTCAATTCATTCATATATATTAGTATCTTTATTAATTGTTTAATCTAATTAATAATTCTTTATTAATAAATAAAATTTATTTATTTATGAATGCAAATAAAGTTATTCTAATTAATTATGATATATGAATATTCTTGTGTGTAGTTTTTGTGGTAAAATTCAAAAAAAGATATTATAATGAAGACAAATAAAATAAATTATCATCTATCTCCATTCAAAAGAAACACGCCTTGTGTGTTGTATGTCTCTAAGACTGTGGTTATTCTGGTGTTACTGAAAATTAATGCATATAGATTATGTAGACACCTTTAAATTTTTATAAGCGAATAATGTTTTTTTTTTTTTTTCGTAAGAGATTGGTTTATAATTTCAATGAATGTATGCTGTCTTCGTGTGTTTAAGAAGTTAACGCGAATATTAAAAAGTTAACCTTAATATTAAGAAGTTGACGCGAATATTTAAAGTTTACACGAATATTTATGTATTTTTTACTAATTATTAGAGTTCAAATAAATTACTTAAGTTTTATTGATTATGTTTATAGGAAAGGTTTTCCTTGACAAAATTGAACAAAAATATAATTCTTTAGCTTTAAGAAAACAAAAGATTAAAGAAGTTATTTAAAGAAACTCTGGCACTACCAAAATTGGTAAAATGACTTGTGTTTTTAAATATAAAGAATATCAAATTTGAATTTTTTTTAATCATATTTGTTAATTTGTGTGTGTTATATTTTTTAATTTTGATAAAACTGGAAAAGAATCATCAACTATCTCCCAACGTGTTTCACGACATCCGTAAGCAGATGGGATTATTTCAATTAAATAATTTCGTGGTATAACAATTCCTGGTATTTCCTATTTAAAAAAAAAAATTTAATTTAAAAATTAAAAGATTGCACATAAATATAAATTAATAATATCCACAATATTGAGTTAATAACAAAAAAAAAGATATAATATAAAATTCAATAAAACCTACATCTTCAGGTCGATCAAATAAATATGCATATAAACACTTTAGAACCGTTTCATGAGCAATGATTAAGACATCATTTTTCTCATGTTCAAGTTCGAGAATAGTAGCTTCAAGACGAACAGCGAGATCAAGATATGACTATAATAAAGAATATTTAGATTACTTAATAAATTATATTAAATAAAACTTTCTAGAAATTTTTTGTGATAATTGTGAATACCTCGGCCATTGGATATCTATGATGATATCTATCTTTTTGTTGCCTTTCATATTCTTCGGGAAATTTTTTCTGTTTATTAATTAATTAATTAATTATTGTTAAATAATAATAATATTATTACATTTATTTTCTAATTAAATAATATGATAACAATACTTTAATTTCTTCAACAGTTAACCCATCTACAAATCCAAGATTAAGTTCTCCCATCGAAGCTCTTTGTTGAACAACATAACCTTCTTCCTCAAAAGGTTTTGCTGTTTGAACAGCATGTTGTCTAGTTGAAGTCCATATCTATATAAGAAATATAAATAATTCAAAATTAAATGATGTAAAAAACAATGTAAAAAATCATGGTTCACATTAAAAAAAAAAAACCGTTAAAGTTCTTTCATCATCACCCCATCCTTGTTCTTTTCGCTCTTTCTTTTCCTTTTCCCTTAATGATAGAATGAAATTTTTCAATTTGTACGCGTATTGTTTGCCAGAGGGACTTAAATCTGCATCAGCTTTACGAGAAATTTCATTATATGATTCTCCTGACTAATTAAATTAATTCACTTTAATAATACAATAATAATAAAATAGATAAATATAATCAATATATAATTGTGTTTACACAATACCCGAGCAAAATATATTATTCTCGAACTAATATGTAAATTCATTAAATAGAAAACAATACGAGACTAAAATCAATAAAGATATTAATTAGTGATTTTTTTTTTTATTATTATCGCAAAGAATGATGTTATCTTTCTAACTAATTTACCTGTAAATATCCTTTCACATTATTTACAATAATGCGTTCTCCGACATTAATCATTTTAACAAAACTTAAAGACATGTCAGTAATTGGTTGATAGAATCCAAGATGATTATTTATACGTGTCTATTAAATAGATTAAATTAAAATATTAGAAATATTGGGAATAAATCAAAAAATTAAAATGTTAAAAAATGAATTGAAAATTTTTAAATACCCAATAATCTTTAACAGCATCTTCGGGATCCCAACCAAGATACTATAAATGAATTATTCTTGCTAAGTGGTTGAATAGATATATAGATATATAATATAAATTTTTAATAATCTCATACATCAGGTGAAGTTATCTTTACGCTTCGAATATTGCTATCAATGATTTCCTTTTTGTCACAAATCGACTCTGATAAAGAAAATATATAAATTTTTGTTTGAAGAAAAAAAAAGAAATTATATATATATATAAAAAAAAAAAGACATAATTACCAATAAAAACAGGCTAAATAATAATTATCATTCAAGTTCCGAAAAAAGGGCAAAACTTGCGTTACATATGTATAATATAAATATAAGAAATCTTTAAATGTGATACATTTCTTTCTTCCCACTACAACTACTAACTTGAATACCATGAGCAACCAATGTATCATGTGCTTCTTTGCGTCTTGCTTCAGTAGTATTACTAGCATCAAAAATTCCAATTTGACCTCCTTCATTTAACCATTTTATCAAATCATTCAAACATCCCACTGCAATATTATGTCGCAATTCGACACTTTCTTGATTTCCTATTATATGTGTGTAAAAGGTTCACATTTAATAGTTTAATGAATGATCAATTTTCATTTATATATATATATATATATTTAATACAAAATTTTACCTGGACTAAAAAAATCAGGTGGCAAACTGGCCGCAGCGCCCATTAATACACGACGATAATTTCCAACACTAAATACTTTAGTACTAACTCCTAACCACCGAAGATATCTACACAATGAATACGCGACATGTGTCTTTCCTCTTGCGGGTAAACTAAAGTTTTATTATTATAAATTAATAGAATTAATAGAATTTCTGGAATTTTATCAATTTACTTGAGAATTGAATATACCAATGGACCAAAAAAAAATTGTTTAAAATAATTTTTACCCTACGGTAATTACTGCTATCCTTCCTGCATGAAATAAATGACCCGATTCCGTTTTATAAAGTTGAGCTGCCATTTTTTCGTCGTTAAATGTTAATCATTTAATTGGTATTTATCAAATAAAGTTTGCTCGTATTTCAGCCTGCATCGGGCTTGATTTTTAACTCGTGCAGGATCGAGCCACAAAATCTGATAAAAAGATAGGCTTGAGCCGAACCAAGCCAGGCTCGGCTCGACTCGGATCACAACCTAATAGTGAAATTACAAAAAAATCTTAGATTAAAATAGGTAAGATAGATTTTTTCAAAGTCAGGTGTGTAATACTTTTGTATATGTCTACTTTTTCTATGATGTTAATAAACTCTTCAAGAATTTAGTACAAAAGAAAATTGTCATTGCAAATATACAACCACAAGCAAAATGTTTATATCTTATTTGTATAATTGTCTATTTAGAACTTTTTTTCTAATACTTTAATAAGAATTTGTAATTTGTCCAATACTAATGATTTATGATTTGAATACAATTTATGAAAAGAGTGATAAATTATAAATGTACAAATATTTTCCTTTAAAACTATTAAGATCCTTTGTAAAAACATTTTTTTTTATCATACTTTATTACCTGTTGAGTACAATACTTTCAGTTATTGAGTCTTATATTAGAAAAATTCAAGATCTAACTTATTTCAATTATTATTTTCAAAAAAATTTTAAAATCATAAGAGATATCGAGACTAGATATAAAGCTAAAGCTGTGATAATGATATCGGAAGGTTTCAAAATTCCAGAAAAAAAAAAAACTAGTAACATCTTTCAGAGAATTGCAAAAAAATTCAAATCTTCATCTTGAAAAAAATGTATAGATTTTCTTAGCATATTAACAGATTTTCTTTTTGCTTCAGTTGTAAGTAAGATATATATTTTGCTAATTTGATATGAAAATTCTTACAAGTTACATATTTATATTATAGTGCTAGTTTGATAAAGAATAAATCTTTTTGAAATAACAAATTGTTATATTTATTTATAGGACATAGTGATAAAACAATTATTATTTTGAAAGTTAAAGGTATTAAAAGTCATCCTGTTTAAGAATAGAAATTAATGCAATAAGAATAGACTAAAGTAATGTTCCTAACGAGTTGAATGGATCTATAATTATAATCCCAAAATTACCAAATAGTAATTAATAAAAGGAGAAGGATAGTTGAAACGTCATAGAGTCACACACCATCTGGTGAATGAAATGCCATTATTTTGCCTTTGCGGTGCCAATGACAAAGATTACATAAGAAAACAACAAGGGTGGAAGAAGCCTGAGTGGCAGTAAAGAAGAAAAATAAGAGCATTAAATAAAAAAGGGTTTTGAAATTAGTATCACATACGGTAAAAGTTATTACTGTATGTTATTTATTTTGTATGACGCGTTAATAATAATAAAAGATTATGAGAATCTTATCTATTCAAAGAAAATACGTATATATTACAATTATTAAAATTTGCCTTATTTAATCATACGATTATGTAACGATAATAATAATAAGTTATAATTTAACGAGCAAAATTTTCGCGTCGAACAGCATCTAATATTGATGCCTTCATGATCAAAATGACAACAAAAGAACGTGATGGCTTTAGAATGACTCATTTAGAAATATTCTTATTCTGACATGAATTTTGTTAAAAGATTTAAAAGATTAAAATGATTAAAAGTTATTTTCTATCGACATCATTCTATTCAATTCAATTCATTTCGAATGTAATCATTACATAATTTCTTTTTTATTCAAAGTTTTTTTTTTTGTAGTAAATTCGGATATAAAAAATTTTATTATTCTTGTAATTCTTTGGAATTTTTTTTTTTTTCACAATTTTTGTAATTTTTGTAATTCTTGTAACTTTTAAGTATCATTCTATTTTCCAATATAATTACTCCTTTAATCTAGATCATTTCATTCTACGTTAATACTTTATCATTATAAAATAAAAAAGAATGGCTAATTTGACTGAGTTCGTTCAAAGACCTGATTTAGGTCGTTTGGGTAAAGGAATACGTGTTCGTTCCAATTTTTTTGAAGTAACATCACTTCCACAAGAAAATATTATTCATTATGACGTGACCATCACTCCTGATGTACCGCCGGTATTAAATAGAAAGATTTATGAAGAATTCGAGAGAGAAAATCTCAATTCGACTCTTCATAGTATTAGAGCTGTTTTTGATGGCAAGTTAATTTTTCATTTATTTTATATAATAGTAATTGTGTAGATAGTACACGATATTGTAAAGAATGTATGAATGTATTAATTTGGGGTAAACCTTTTCTCTAAATAAAAATATTTTAGGACGCAAGAACATTTTCGCACCACGCAATTTACCATTTGGAGATGCTGCCACTTTTGATGTAAGCTGTTATTTTTCTATTTCGTTCAATTTCATGTGCCAATTTCATATCAAATTTCGTTTCAATTTCAAGTGATTTTTTTTTGATTCATTACGATAAATTATAATAGATTAATCTTCCTGAAGATGATGGTGTTATATCTGCAAAAAGAGCTCCTAGAGCTTTCAAAATCAAAATGAAAAAAGCAGGTGAAATCGTTATGGAAGAACTTCACCGATTTCTTGAAGGCCGAGGTCAATTGACACCAAATTGCTTAACTGGTATGTAAAAAAAATTCAATGTATTTAAATATGTTTTTATAATTTATTATTGTTATTAAAAATAACATTAATAATATTATTTTTCTTCTCTTAGGGATAATGGCCCTTGATGTACTTATTCGACATCTTCCCTCAATGAGACATGTTACTGTTGGTCGTTCATTTTTTACACGACAAGGTGCTGTCGCTCTTGCTGGAGGGGCAGAGGTTTGGCAAGGATATTATCAATCTGCGCGCCCGGCAAAAGGTACTGAACTCATCTTTTATTTCTTTTTATATTCGATGAAAGATGGAAGGAATAATTCATATTATATTTTTTTTTTTATATTTATAATGTTGATAGGAAAAATTATGATTAATGTTGACCTAAGTGCAACTGCATTTTACGAAGCTGGTCCTCTAGTAATGATGGTTACAAAATTGCTAGGTCGTCGAACTCCCGATGACCTACGTCGAGGAATTACTGATAAAGATCGTATAAAGATAGAAAAAGCTTTAAAAAATTTGAAAGTTAAAGTCATTCATCGAGGAGAAGCCACTTCTAGACGTCGTTTCAAGATTAGTAAAATTACTGCAACACCAGCAAATCAAACTAGATTTGATGCTGGTGACGGTCATACTACGGACGTTGCTGATTACTTTGCTAGAACATATAATCAACGTTTAACTTATCCACATCTTCCTTGTATTGTTGTCCGGAAAGATATTTTTCTTCCATTGGAAGTTTGTGAAGTAATTGAGGTACGATAAAAAATCAAATTAATTAAATTTCATAAATTCAATAAATAAGATCGAAATAAATATATTTACTATTTAAAATAGGGACAACGTCATATTCGCAAACTTAACGAGAAGCAGACAGCTGATATGATTAGATTTACTTGTCAAGCACCTCATTTGCGAGCCAACAAAATTAAGCAAGGTGTGGATATTCTAAATTATCGTGGTAATGAATATCTTCAACAATTTGGCTTGGTCGTTTCCAATGATATGGCCGTGGTAATTATTTTTGTTTCAATTTTTATCATCATTATATTTATTTTATTTATTATATAGAATATAAAATTATATATATATATATATATTTTATGTTTTTAAGGTTCCAGCGCGTGTCCTTCCAACACCCACACTTCAATACCATCCTTCTTCCCGGGAAGCTTCTTTCATTCCACGTGAAGGATCATGGAATTTGAGAGACAAGAAAGTCGCTCAAGGAGCTACTCTTGGTTCATGGTCGATTGTTGCTTTTGGATCTGATACTGATTTTCCTCATCAGTCGATTCAAGCTTTTGTAAGAGAACTTATAATTACTTGTCAAGATAATGGAATGGTATGAATTAAATATTAGATTAATTCTAATATAATATTTTCAAAGTTAAAATCACAGCAGTGTTTGCATTTAATTTACATTTTTTTTAAAAAAAAAATCATAATATTAATTTTATTTATTACATGAAACAAAAATAGAATATTCCAAATAAGACACCTCCAATCATGCATTCTAATCCTCAGGGAGATGTCGAAAGTTCCCTAAAACAAGCATGGCTTCGTGCCGGTAATGCAGCTAAAGCACAACCACAAATGCTCTTATGTGTCCTTCCGAATACTGGTGTTCCACTTTATGCCGAAATTAAACGAGTTACTGATACAGTCATTGGAGTAGCTAGTCAATGTATTCAAGGACGACACATGATGCAAGCCAAGAAACAATATTGTGCGAATGTATGTTTGAAATTAAATGTTAAACTTGGAGGAATGAACGTTTATATTAGTCCTACACAAATTCCTTTCATTTCTGACCGACCAACAATTTTAATGGGTGCTGATATTTCTCATCCTGCTCCCGGTAATTTTATTATTATTATTATTATTGTTGTTGGAAAATCTTTAATATATTACTACGTATTTACTATGTTATTGTATAATTAGGTGATCCTGCTCGGCCTTCTATTTCAGCGGTTTGTGCATCTTTAGATGCAAAGGCTTCACGATACTCTGCAGCAATACGAGTTCAAACTGGGCGTACTGAAATTATTGCAGACTTAGCAGCTATGGTTAAGGATCTTTTAAAAAATTTTTATCAGACTTGTGGTAGAAAACCCGAAAGAATTTTATTTTATCGCGATGGTGTTTCCGAAGGTCAATTTGCTCAAGTTATGAATGGAGAAATTAAAGCAGTGAGATGTAAAAAAAAAAAAATTTATCTATCTACTTTATTTCCGGAAGAAGAAAAAATATTATTATCTTACAAATAATCCCTTAAAAAAAATAAAATATAGTGGCATGCGCATCGTTGAACGAATCATATCAACCATACATCACCTTTGTCGTTGTTCAGAAACGACATCATACTCGATTTTTTCCCGTGGATAGAAGGGATTCGGACAGAACAGGAAATTGCCTTCCTGGAACCGTGATTGAATCAACAATTACTCATCCGTTTGAATTCGATTTTTGTAAGTTTCATATATCTTTATAATAATAATTTTTATAATTAATAAAATATTATTTTTACAAAAAAGTAACTTATTACAATTATCCAACCGTAAATATATATATATATATTTGTAGATCTCCAAAGCCACGCTGGATTACAAGGCACATCTAGACCTACTCATTATCATGTTTTATACGATGAAAATGAGTTTTCTACGGATGGGTTAGAATTTGTTTTTTTTTTGATACTGAGATTTAGTTATTTATTTCATGCCATACATTCTAAATAATTTTCTATAATTTTCTAATCGTAGGCTTCAAGCGCTATCTTATAATTTGTGCTATGTTTACGCACGTTGCACTCGTGCTGTATCATTGGTATATATTATTATCATAATTATTATAATTATTTTATCTTATAATAATAATAATTCTAATTTCTTTAAATTTATAGGTCCCACCAGTATATTACGCCCATATTGTTTGTCGACGTGCTAGATTCCATTCACGTGCTGAACAATGGAGCGACACTGAATCGGCAGAAGAAAATGGACAAGCTGCAAGTTTTGCTATAGTAAAACCAGAGTTATCTAGGGTAAGTTGATGTTTAATTTCTGTTTTTTATTGGGATGAAAAAAATTAATACTCTTTTTTTATTATTATTATTATTATCAAGACCATGTATTTTATGTAGAATTGGTTTTATAAAATTTTATTTTTCGTGTAAAATTAATAGAAATTAGATTCCATAATGTGGGAATAATTGCAATATTATTACATCTATAATCTTTTTACGTTTTTTTTCCATAGCTTATTAGCATTTTTGTTGTCATCTAAATTTTTTCTTTATATATGTTATATTTTTTTTATATACATTAATTATATTTTTTTCGCCTTTTAAGAAATTATTTAATTATTTTTAAATTGCTTTTTGTTTTTATTATATTTGGCATAGAACGTGAGAATATTATTCATGATGTAATTTAAATTATTATATATTATTATAAATTATTATATCATTATTAAATCATATTTAATACGATCTAAATCTAATAAATTTTCCCCTAATATTCTTCTCTTATTCTCTTGGTGCTGCTTTGTTATTTATTACTATTACTAGAAGAAATTCTTTTAAAGAAACTTTTTTTAAAAATTATGACGACGAATGTTAAAGCTGTTGCAGTCATTCAGGGTGATAATCCATCAAGTGGTGTAAGTGGGATTGTCAGGTTTACTCAAGAAAAAGAAAATGCACCAACTATTGTTGAGGTCGATATTAAAGGATTGACACAAGGAGATCATGGATTTCATGTTCAGTGAGTAATAATTTATGGTTATTTATAAAAAAAAATATATCTATATATTTTAATTTTAATTTTAATTTTTAGTGAGTTCGGAGACAATACTAATGGATGTACATCAGCTGGAGCTCATTTTAATCCATTTAATAAATCACACGGAGCTCCTCAAGATGAAAATCGTCATCTTGGTGATTTAGGAAATATTACAGCTTCGGCCGATGGTACAGTTAAAACTAAAATTACAGATAATCAACTTACTTTGATCGGTCCACATGGGGTCATTGGGTATGTTATTTTTAAATTCTCATCTTTCTCATCTTTTCTTGGAAATTTCATTATTTATTTATTTTTTTTTTAATTATTTTTTTTAGGCGTACAATCGTTGTTCATGCAGATAAGGATGATCTTGGTAAGGAAAATAATGAACTTTCACGTACCACAGGAAATTCTGGTGGTCGAGTTGGTTGCGGAGTGATTGGTAAGTAATTAGTAATTAAGATCCATCGAATTTTTTTTATTTTTTTTTAATTATGATATTTACTTTATTAAAAAAATTCTTTTAAGGGCACACACACTAAGAATTGTATTTATTATCTGATTGATTATCAGAATTATATTTTTTTTACTTCGAAAATATTATCATATTATTATCATTATTTTTACTTCGAAAATATTATCTTTGTTTATACAGAGGGATTTTCTATAGCGAGGTTTCGTTGGTTAAAAAAAGAGATTGTCTATTTTTGAATAAAGCTTTTGTAAAATATCCTATAGCTCATGTGATAGAATTTTATCCGGGTACACGTTAAAGAGCGTTCGTAGTACATTCACACATGGCATGTGGCAATCATTTTTTTTTTTATAAAAATATAATTCTTGTAATCTTCGCGTCAAATCCTACAACTTTTTCCCTTTTCCATTCTCTAAGTTATCATTTATTTCTATCTAATTTTCTTTATTTTTTCTTAGATATTACCTTTCCTTAAGATTTCACGAATTTAGTTCTCTTAGTTAACAGCAGAAAATTAAGCTATCATTTCTTTTTAAAGTTTTCTTTTTTTTTATAGTTCCTTTTACTCCTACCTTTTGCAATACCCGTTACCGCGTAACATGAGTGCCCGTGTGATGCTTAGGCCCGTGAGAATACTGTGTTAGCGTAATGAAATATGAGTGCCAAAATGAAGAGTGATATTGGTATCTTGCAGTATAACGATGCCAGTTGCATATCAGTGCGACTACCTAACTTTACTATTTTTTTAAACAGATTTGTCGAGACTTTGTGTTGACTGACTGCCAGAGTTAGTTTGCTGCAAGATATCTTTGTTGCGCGCGATATTTGACTTTGACTTGTATTTCCTTCACGCCAAAGTATTTTCTGTTCTGCACTACCAGTATTTTCTTGCCCGTTGTAACAGCGAGTGTCAGATGGACCGGAGACACCTTAAAATTTTAAACCAAATTATATATAAATTACCATGTGGTTAATTTTTTGTCTCCTTAGTGGTTGTAGCAAACCTGTGTGTTTGCCATCGTAAGTGCTCAAGTGTTGTTGTCAGTGTCAGTTGCCTCCGCATTCTACCAGTGCTGGTTCCTGTCCCGGAGTTGTTTTTTGTTGGTCTTTATTTTTATTTTCAGGTAACCGAATAACGAATGAAGTAAGTATTTAAACTTTTTTTAGTGGAAAAGGGATTAAGTTTAATTATTTTGCTTCGTTTAAACATGATTTACTTAATATTTAAGAATAATTTTGTATTATTTATTAATTTGAAAATAATTAAAATTATTGGAATAATCAATAATTAGAATATATTAAAAAATTTTAAACTGTTTTAATTTTGAAATGGATAATTTATATGTAATCTTGTCACGTTGTCACGTCTCCTTCCTCTCTAATGTACATTATATATGTACATCTCAAAGACTTAAATATAATATCACCTCAAAAAAAAACAACAGTAATCTGACAAATTGATACGATAAATAATCAATAACCGCCGCTTTCTAATGCTTTCTGACTTGGTTTACGTGTTCTAGTACTTCTTCGTAATCTCTGTCCTGTGGATACCGTTGAATTATCTATTTCTCCATCAACAATGACAGTTTGGTTCTTAGATTTTTGTGATTGTTGATTATCATTAATATTTTCATTAATGTTTTCATTAATGTTTTCACTAATGTTTTCATTAATGTTTTCATTAATGTTTTCATTAATGTTTTCATTAATGTTTTCATTAATGTTTTCATTAATGTTTTCATTAATAATATTTTCATAAATATTTTCATTAATAATATTTTCATTAATATTCTCATTAATATTTTCATTAATTTTATCAAAATTATTTAAAGAAGGTTGGAAATAATTTTGTGGTGATTTTAATTGTTGTGTTAATTGTGTTTGAGCTACTATTTCATTCTCAGCGATTGATGGTGTCATAATGTTATTAAATGATTGTTGAAATTGATTTATATCAACATTTAAATTATTGTTCCCATTATTGTATTTACAAAATGATGGATGTAATGAAATATTGTTACTAATGGCATTAAAATCATTGATTGGTTGAATATTATTATTGTTATTATTATTATTCTTCTTCTTCTTATTGCTGTTATTGTTATTGTAATTGTCATTATTGTTATTATTATTATTATTGTTATTATTATCAGATAATTCAGAAATGTTGTTAATTTCACGATTGTATTCTTGATCCTGATAAACGTTTTCACACCCAAAGATAAGATATTCCAGAAATTAGATCCCAAAATAAAATTTCCATAATAATATTCCCAAAGTAATATTCCCAAAATAATATTCCCCAAATAATATCCCATTCGTAAATTTCCAAATTAAAAAAGAATAAAAACATTAGAATAAAATTTTTTTTTTTTAAAAAAAAATAATAAATCAGAAACTAATTTTGCTAATTCTTTAAAATTCTTTTTTTACCTTTAAAAATAAATTATCATTATTCTCGCATATTTGTAATGGTTGCTGATTTGTCATTTGATCTTCTTGAATTGATATAATGCTCGTAATATTCGTTGATGATGAAGGTCCAAACGTAAAAGAAGAAGCAGAAGCAGCATTATTGGTGGCAGTAGTAGAATTAATAGTTGGAATAATTTGTTTTATTCCCTCGTTATTATTATTGTTAATATTATTGTTAATATTATTGTTAATATTATTGTTAATATTATTATTACTATTATTGTTACTATTATTACTGTTACTATTATTACTGTTACTATTATTATTGTTGTTATTATTATTATTAAATCTCTGCGAAATTTGTTCATATAAATTTTGTTGTTCATCTAATGATTTCGTTATTATATAACCCTCCCAATAATTATTACTATTTTCACAATAATTACCATTATTTGCACTATTTTCATCATCATAAATTACATTAATATCCATTTGAATTGTTTGATTATTATCATCATCATTATTACTATTATTAATACCACCACCTCCATCTCCACCTCCTTCTTCAATGTTATTATGATTCTTATTGATAACGAAATTATTTATATTCATCATCTGATTTTTCGTTGACGACGGAGGTGGTGATGGTGGCGATAGTTTGGATTGTTGGTGTATATTCCAATATGTCGGAGAGCAATACCAATAAAGTTCATTCCTTATATCTGGACATTCCTGAAATAGATTTTCCATTCTTACTATTAACGTTCGTTCGTCGATCTTTGCTTGAAAATAAGATATCAATGATGACTTAAAATATTCATAATTCGAAGGTTCATTTTCAAACAATTGTCTGATCCGAATAACATATTTCAAGGCATCCTTGAGTGTAGGTTGTACAGTTTGATGAATATTTGACATTTTTAATTATGTTACTCCCAAAACAAATTTTTTGATTTATTTATTTTGAATTTATTGTTGATACGATATACTGGATATATTGTATATATTGTATAACAATATATATATATATATATATATATATTTATATCTCTATAAATATATTTTGCTGAAAAAAAGAAAAAAACGTAAAGATTAAAAAAGAATTTCTGTTGATTAACAAATTCCGAGAATTTTTTATCTTTGATTATGCTGATTGGTGAGTTGTTCATGATATCATCGCATATAAGACTCTCACAATTCATACAAGGGGCTAGCGACAAATCGTTAACGTAATGTTACGTGTCACAAATGTCACAACAGCTGAAATAATAATCGTCTAATGATCGCTGGTAATCAGTCTCGGAAGAAATAAATATCAAATTATTGAATATTTTCGAAGTTCTATTTTAACGAATATTCTAGTGTGAATATATATATATATATATATGCGTTGTAATATAGCAAGTATAACACTAGTATGTGAATTTCTTTCGGAGGTTCAACTCGATATTCTGAGATTAACGAAATAAACTTAAAGATAAAGTTTGTACATCACGGAAAATTATTAATACCTCTTATAATTAGCCGATTATGTAAGCAAATTGAGAGCCAGGACAATACTCTCGCACTCAATCGGAACAAGTTAAAGATCTAATAAAAAATAATAGAAATGGATAAATGGAATGAATGAGATAAATGAGATGAGAAAATAACGCTAAAATTCACCGATTAATCCGCGAAATATAAAATTTTTTCTAATTAAAATATATTTTAATCGTTTCTGGATTAATTATAATCATTTAAAAACTTTTGAAAATTATTTATTGCATCAAAGTGAACAGACAGAATAAGTAAATATGATAGAATCCTAGCAGATTTGAACAAAACAAGTCAAAAAATTAAAATCAAGGAAACCTACGAAGTAATGATTGTAATGATTGCATTGATATGACAGATTGCCTTTTTTTTTAGGAGTTTGCATAAAAACTTAGAAATTGCATGTGACATTGCTAAGATTTTACAATTCAAATATAAACTTATCGCTGGAACTTTAAAGTTAGACGCTTAAAGAAGAAATAATATGCACGCTGTTTATAATATGATGACGGAACATTAAGAATATTATACATGTCTAAGTATAATTTAATGTCTTCGCCGTTATGCTATGTTACGATTAGCACTAAAGATTGAGTTCGCGATTATGTTATTCTTTAATCAACTCAAATTAGCTTAAATTACTCTCATAGTTTCTTCTTAAGGAATGAATTTTTATAAAAAAAAAGATAATAGTTGTCTTAAAACGGATAGTTGAAAGATAAATTAAATAAATTTTCCAACGATAGAACGTTATTTAAATTTATCCATCAAGCAATATTTTTGACTATCGAATTGGCGTATCCACAAATTAATAATGTAAGGGCGTTTTTACACTTGATTCATCGATAAATGATATCTTTCTTAAGTAGCATGCGTCATAGTGATTTGTTAAAAGAAAGAAAAAGTTTCACACGATTGTTCTAAGAAAAAATAAACATTTTCCTTATCAGGAAACAATAACGAACTTAATATATAAACTCATGATTGATCACGGACCAGTTTTAAGGTTTATTTGTAAACATTTCTCACGATATATTATATAAAGGGAACGAGGTTGAGAAAATACCCTTAATCACCTATTTTACATATTGCAATATTCATATTGAAAAATTCATTATGCAAATACGAGGGCAAGATAATGTTGGTAAGTAGTTGTCACGTAATTATCATCGACTGAGCGATAGTATCATAGTAATAAAAAATTATTAGTTATTGCTAAATCTTCACCACCGGTGATCATCAATGATTATCGTTCCTAAACCATAACTTCTTTTTGCGGTGACGATTACCAGTTGTGAGATTTTAGAGACTTTATATATATATTTAATATTATACTATATATCAAAAATATTTCTGTACTTAGACGCCTCACAAGAAACAACTGATCCAAATAACTCTGCCAATCAAGAGAATTTAAGCCCACAGGACTTGAATCAGAGTACATCTACAAACGATCCTGCTCCTCCAGAATTAAAATATTTCAGTGATCCGTCATTTCTAAATCAAAAGAATTTAGATTCTCAAAATTTGAATCAGAGTACAGCTGCGAATCCGAGAATAACCCCGGGTTATCCTGGGAGCAATGATCTTCAAGATATACATGGAAATCTTTCTTCAATTACATCTACATTAAGAAACTTTAAAGGTAATGATCAAGACGGTAATCGTTCTTCAGCTCCCTCCGAATCAATATATTCAAGTGCTCCCCAAAAATCAAACGAGAGTACAGCAACAGGCTATCCCGGAGGCTATTATCAAGATATGCAGGGCAACCAAGGAAATTTAAATTCAAATCTGAGCTCAACTCCAGGTTATCCTAAAGGCTATGATCAAGATGCATCAATAAAATATTCTAATGTTTCATCATTTGTCAATCAAGTGAATTTAGATCCCCAAAACGTGAATAAGAGCACAGACCATTCTAGGGACTATAATCATTCTAATGCTCCATCCAAATTAAAAAAATCTAGTGCTTCATCACCTGAAGCAAATATTATTCCTCAACAAACCCCAAATCAAAAAAAAGAGTTATTTTCCGTACCACCTGGACAATTTTTACCAGATAATAAACCATCTGCTCGCCGTGATCGTAACCGATCCCCTAATTCCAAAGTTCAGAAACATTCAAAGAAATCAACATTGAATGAATCCAGCACCGTTTCTGCTCAGAAACGGATACCTCCTGTGAATTCTCCTCTTGAGAATGAAACCAATTTCGATGCTCCTAGTAACAAAACTAATTTCGATGCTCTTAGAAACCAAACTAATTTCGATGCTTCTCTTAGAAACCAAACTAGTTTTGATACTTCTCCTAGAAACCAACCTAATTTTGATGATGCTCCTAGAAACCAACCTAATTTCGATGTTAATAGAAACCGAACCAAATTCGATGCTTCTCCTAGAAACCAAACTAATTTTAATGTTCCTAGAAATCATACCAATTTCGATGCTCCTAGAAATCAACCTAATTTCGGCGCTCCTCTTATCAATCAAACTAATTTCGATGCTTCTCCTAGAAACCAAACTAATTTCGATATTCCTATAAATCAAACCAATTTCGGTGTTCCTCTTAGAAACCAAAACAATTTCGGTGCACCTCCTGGAAATCAAACCAATTTCGATGCTCCTTCTAGGAATCAAACCAATTTCGGAGCTCCTCTTAGAAACCAAAACAATTTCGGTGCACCTCCTGGAAATCAAACCGATTTCAAACCTTTTCCTGAGAATCAAACCAACTTCAATTTTCCGCCTGGAAGTCAAACCAATTTCGGTTTTCCACCCGGAGCTTTTCCCGAAGATCAAAACAACTTTAACAACTTTGATGCCTTTCCTGAAAATCAAAACAACTTTGATTCTTTTTCTGGAAATCAATTCAACTTCGATGCACCCACTCACAATTTTCTTAATGTGGACACTTCTACCGAATCTCAATTCGAAAATTCTTTCGTTCATACTGACCAAACTGACCAACCAATGGAACTGCCCGATCTTAGTCAATTAATGAATGATAATACTTTTTCCAATAATAAAAGTGGAAAGTTCGTTCCAAATTTTCAAGGAGATTCACCAAACTTCTTTATGAATGAAGATATGAGCACCCCGGAGAAATTCTCTTCCTCGAGTTTTGGCGGACCATCACAATCGACTTACAGTGATCAAGAATCAGATGTTTCCGATGATTTTGAATCATCACCTAAGAAAAATCAATCGCGACAGCACCAACAAATACTTTCAGTTATTACTAAACATAAATATTATCATGCTGGTTCACGCATTAATATTGATCACGAAGATCTTGTTGAATATATACCTGGGATGTATCGTTTATTGGATTTATGCAAAGATGATGGGTCCAATGGATTAGGTATTTAATTCTTGTAAATCTCCTCTTATATTTTCGAAAATAATGAAGGCTAACTCATATTCTAATATTTTTAATATTTTAGTTGACAAAATTATCATATCCAAAGATTCCTTGGAAAAGCTTTGCAATGAAATGGTTCCTTACAGCTTTGCTTCGATTTCGGAAATCAACTATAATCGGTTGAATTTAGTTACTTTCCGTCTTATTGGATGCTATGGTAATCATGAATTGATTGCCAAGCTTTTGTTGAATAAGCGTATAATCAATAAACAAGTGTATGTTAATTTAATTATTATTAGAACAGAAATTTTTGAATAATTGGACGTTTAAATTATTTTAATTAATTAATTGATTGAATTTTTTTTTTTTTTGAAGTTTTGATTGCCTTACATCAAAAGCAACTTCTGCTTTTGAAAGTAGAAATAAACCATCTCTTCGACCTGGTATTTATTTATTGGTAATGAATCCTGAAGTAGGATTGGTTATTTATTGGCCAGAACCAGGAAGTTACGAGGAAAATGCGCATTCTCAACGCAAAAAGAATATGACTAATATGCATAGGTAAATTTGTGTGCTTGCTTCTTTTATTATCTTTTAAAGATATTTACAATTAAATCATTTTTTTTAGATATCTTACAAAACTAACTGATCACCAGCTCTGCTTTATGAGCGACAAAGACTTGGACTGTTTTGAATGGAAATCTGATATCGAAAATCAAAATTCTGATGAAGGCGACGATGATAATAGAACTTTTGAATTTGAAGTCAAGAAAAGCCAAGAAGAGCAAGAAGATTTCAAACTCTTTAAGGGATTTGAAGTAAGAAATTATTATTCGTAATAGCATCGTTAAATGAATATAAAAATTTATTGTTTTCTTTTTCTAGGTGATCCTTCCAGAAATTTTAAAAAAGAATCTTGTAAAGAAAGAACATAAAAATATCCCATTAAGTCCAATGGGTAAATTTTCTTTCCAAATAAAATTTGTAAGATTAGATTTCCAAAGATTGATAGATACTAAATTTTTATTTTTTAGTCGTTGAATCAACTAATAAGCAAGCCTTTATTACCCGCGAGATTATTAAATCTGCGGTCACCATGGATAGATTTTATTTTACTGTTCAGATTTCATCGCTCTATGATGAACTTAGAAAAAAGCTTAAGGATAAGGCATTACGCATTAGTCATGGCATAAATATGGAAAATTTGAAAATATTGGTAATAAATGGATTAAATATGGAAGATGAACTTTTAGGACCAATGAATTCAGCTATTGAAGCAGCAAAAAAAGAAAGTCATTTAAAAAAAGAACGGGAAGTGAACGCTTTGAAAAATGATGGCGAATTAATTAAGGCTAAAGCATATAAATTATTGCGATATTTATACGGGTAAAATATTTTTATCAAAATAATTTTCTAATGATTTTTATAACTTCTAATATATTACGTTTTTGATTTATAGAATGTTCGAATCTCAATTTCTTTCTAATTCATCGGATCAATCTGATTCTTCAGATGAGGGTGATGAAAAGTGTAATTAATTTATTGGAATTATTTAATGCATGAACATATTTTAACTTATCGAGGATGCGTACTAGAACTTCATATTAATAATAAATTTGTTAATTTAGCTTTAAATCTGGAACAATTTGATAAAAATTATCCAGGAATGTCAAAGAAACTTTTTCAAAGTGTGCAAATCCATTCTAATTCTTGGACAAGAATGAAGAAACGTTTTTTTTACGCGAAAATCCTACATCACTACTTATTTTATGGTAATGGTAAAGCAGAAAATCAAAGAACATTTGAGAGATTCGTGTATGATGCCTTCATAGAAGCAATCGAAAGTCCAGAAAATAACTGCTTTACAATATACAGTACATTTTCTGAAAGAATTGAAAAAGGGAGCAGTTCATATTTTTTCTCATACTTTAATCTTAACAAAATTAAAAGTCTGTTTACTAATACTAATGTAAACAAAATGTATGAACAAGCAATTAATATTGCAAAGAATACCCAAGATCAGAAGTTGATACATGATCTCCTAAATGACAACTTTTTTGGTAAATATGATGATATTAAAAAACGGCTTGTCAGCTTATTTTACGTTGAATATTCAAAATGGAGAAATGATACTTTTCCTGGCAAAATCAAAGAGATTATTCCGAAATTTTCTGATAGAATTAAAGAAATTACAAGTAAATTCGAGGAAGAATTTAATTTAGAAAAAGGCAGGATTCTAGAAAAGGAACACGAGAGAATTATCAATCAAATCGAAAGCATGTATACAACGGGGTAAGTTTCTTCATGATTTATTATTTATTTTTTAAAATATAAAAGTTTACTGACACAATATATTTCAATAAATAGACGTATATTTAGAATAAACAACATTATTTGTGGTAATAAAATTTATAAAATTTATATTAATCTATCAATTGTTAATTGGTATATTTTTAATTAAATCTTACATATTTTTGATAAAGATTCAAGTATATTGTCGATCAGAGGAAAAACTTGCAGGATTACATTTGAGGAAGAAACGTCCTTACCAGATCAACTTCAAGTCACTATTTATGAAACTTCTTTGGATCAATCGGATGTTTTTCAATCCCAAATGAATGAGCTTTATATTCCAAAACCTACATTATCTTATGGGCACAGAAGTCTGGGAACTTCATTTCAGATTAATCCAGAAATATATGATTTAAGGTAAATTTGGTCTTACGCTTTATTTTTAAAGTGCGTGATTTTCTTTTTTCTAATCAATAATATTTTTTTTTTTTTAGAAAAATATTCCAATTCGAAAACAAAAAGTTTCTTGTCATTTTATGGAATAAAAAACAAGCGAGAACTGAATTGTACTATGAATCAGTTTCTAGCTTGAGCTCTGTAATCCAATCAAATTCCGCGAAAACTTTTAAAAATTTGAACACGCCAGAAAATTGTTATTTTGCGATCAATGAATCGAAAGGTCTTATCGGTATTTATGGTAAAGATAATGGCGAGGTAAAAACATTTTAAAAAATAAATTAAATTATTTATAAGTTTGTCTTTTTATTTTAAATGTATCAATTGACTTTATATTATATTTATTTTTTTATGCAGTTAAATGTTTATGCATTTGACGAAGAAAGGAAAAACCTTTTCAATCGCAACTCTAATATTTCTGTTTGTCAGTGGTATAATGGTGTAGCTCCAGATATTCAACACTTTTTCTTTATTCAAGATACCGAGGAGCTTTGCCTTATTGAAAATGGAGGAAAAGCAAAATTATTTAGCCTTGTGACTAACCAATTTCGACCTAGTGTTGGCCAAATCCCAGAGAACACTATTGATGTAATGAGTACTCCTGATGGAGCATGCATTGTTGCCTTTGTAAAAGAAAAAATATCAGAAAAGTCCACTGAAAATGCCGAAAATACAGAAAATGATGATTTCGATCTTTCATCTGATGAAGAAAATGAAAAAGAAGTATTACGTGCCTATGTGTATTTTTGTTCAAATTTTGGACAAGAAGCAAGTAAAAGTAGGTTGAAAATACTTTAAATTTTGCATATTATTAATATAAACAAAATTTATTAACAATAATTCAATTATTTAATTTGACAGTTATTGAATTGCCCCCAGAATTTCAAAATTTAGAATGTCTACAATTCTCGTTTATGAATAAACATCAAATGCATTTGATTTCACTTGATTTCGAAAAAAGACTCTTTTATTCATCAATTGTCAAAATTACCCTTGAAAAAACGCAGTATAGATTCCAACAAAGAAAAAAGAAGAATCCTCTGGGGAGAGTTAAACTCGCGTTAGCAAAAAATAATTATTCGTTGATTAAAGGAAGCAATACTCACTTTAAACGAGATATTAAAGTTAACGAGAATATTGTATTGATGGGAGAAAGATATTGTATTCTAGAAGTTATTTCCGACACTGAGTTAAAAATAGTTGGCACTTTTCGACCTATCGAATCTACTTGGATTGATTTTCAAATAGAACCCAAAACCAAGCTTAATGGGTTTATTGAAACATATAGATTAATGTATGAAAAATATCCTATTGATGGTTGCGTGGATGGTGGCCAAGTCAGACCTCTAAATTTACGAGTCGTTTTAGATATATCAGATGAAGATGAAATTGAGAAATATCAAGAAAATTTTGAAGAATATATCACAGAAATGTTTGTTGAGTTAAGACGCACTACCAAAAAACCAGCAACAATGCTTAAAAAGTTTAAAACTTGTAAATTTTCATTTTTGAAAAAAAAAAATTCATTACTTATTATAATTTATTAGAAATAATTATTAAAAATAATTATTATTTATTATATTTAGCTGTCTCCACTTTCAACTGTCTTGATATTGATGATCCCAAGTTTTTAAAGAAAAATTCCAGGGAATTTCAATTGGGAGAATGGATTATTCAACTTTCGTGTCTCATTCCAATCCAGATTGCGGTCGCTCGAAATAATCAACTTCTTCCTTTACGTGATGGTTTATCATCAACCGAAATAGATCAATTTGATTTCGTGAGTGGTTGCGGTAATCATGTGGATAATATAGCGCAAAATATTTCTTTTGGATGGTACGAAGGAATATTTAAACATTTTGGAAATCGAAAAGTTAAAGTCGTCTCAAGTATGGGAGAGCAATCATGTGGAAAATCTTATATGGTAAGTCTTTATCATATTTTAACAAATAAGTTTCTACATAATAACACTTTATTAAGAATTATTCTTTCAAAATTAGCTGAATCACTTGGTTGGGACTACTTTCGACGGCTCTGCTATGGTAAAATACTTTATTGTTATTTCACTACTTTGGTCAAAAAATTTTACAAAGTTTTATCATTTCTCTCTGTCCATATAACATTAGCGTTGCACTGAAGGGGCATGGATGTCGTTAGGTAAATATCGTTTTTTTGTTTTAATTAAATATCCAATATACATCTAATGTCTTGAAATCAACAAAAAAAATAGCCGTCACTCCAGAATATATATACGTCGCGCTTGATTTCGAAGGATTAAGATCTCTCGAAAGAACGCCACAAGAAGGTAATTAAAAATCATCTTGAATATTTCAAAAGCGAAATTTCTTTATTTATTAAAATCAAAAAAAAAATTTTTTTCTTTAGACCTATTTTTAACTTTACTCAACACAGTTGTATCAAATTTGATTCTCTTCAAAGTAAGGATAAATTCTTTCAAATTTGTCATATTTTTTAACATTTCATATTAACCAAATTTATTTTCATCAATGAAGAATCAATTTTCAATAAATCGAGACATGTCTTTGATGTTTCAAAGATTTCAGGATGGAGCTTTATTGTTAAATGATCCTAAATTGTTTCAGGTAAGTTTGAAACTCATAACGCGACTTAAATTATTTATCTTTTTTTTTTTATTAAAAAAAAATAATAATAACAATAATTATTATTTATTATGATTATTTTAGGCTAAACTCTGGTACAGAATTCTTTAAATAAAATCTTTTTATTATTTGAATAACAATTTTTAACAAGTCGAAATTCGGAATTATTTGTATAGTATTATAATTAAAGATGTTCCATCTCAAGATAAGGATGATATCGTTAGAGAATTTACTTTGCGATTTAATAGTTTGGTGGCTCAGGTACGAAATGTTTCAATTGATAAAATTCAATATGATATATTATGAAATTATCAATAATAAATGATGATAATTTTCAGGAAGCTGAAGACAATTTCATAACAAAAATGTACCCAAGTGGATTGGTTATTTTACCCTGGGCTCTATTCTCAGATGCTGCGTAAAGTATTATTTTATCGTTGTTTGTTTTATGAAATTCTAAATTTATTATTAATTTTTTTTTTAATGATGAATATTCTGATTTATTTTTAATATAGATGGTGAGTATACAAGAAAACTTTTGTAATTTCAAAGATAAATTGAATTTTTTAATTCTGATATATAAATATATATATATCTGCAGGTATAAGAATCTAAAAGATGTAAAAAGAATGCTTGATAAACAAGATGCAAGATATGAAAATGCTCGTACATTTTTGCAGAATATTAAAGTCATTATGGCTAAATTGAAGGTAAACTTGTTATTATCTTATTTATTCATTTTGTTTCTACATCCACCATAAATATATCTTGAGAAATAAATAAATGAAATACTTAATTTATTATTTGCTCTTATAGATTTGCGATTGGGGATCATTAGATGAGAACTTGGTACAAATTCGAGTAGCTAACCTTAGAAGATTTATTCCAACGGCAATATCTCTTGGAATAGAACAAAAAGATCCTACAAAAGAGCTATTAACAGTTAGTAATTTTGATGATAAAATTATTTCTGCGTGGATCCAGAAAATAATTATTCATTTCCATTTTCTCAGAATTATGATACAGGACTTGAAATTGAGAATCCTACGGTTCTTATATCTGCAATTATTGAAGATTATGATCAATCTACAGAATTACTTTATGACTCAGATCTTTTACTTTATGATGAGGAATCCAACTTCCTTGACCTTTCTAAAGATCTGAGATTGTATTTTGAAGAGAAGATTCAGCCTAGAGTCGATTCAACAAATGATTCTGAATGGTTTGCAAATTTTGAGAAATTCATCAAATATATAACCGAAAGAAGAGTTTATCGAGTACAAGAATGGTTTTCACAAAATGTCAGTAAATTTCCACAGGATAACAGTGACATTGTGATTGGACGATATTCATTAGAACAAGAGATTGGGTAAAGATTTTTTAAAAATTGTTCGTGGAGTAATTCAGTCGGTAATTTTCATATTAACAAAAAAAAATCTTTGTAAATTTCTTATGATATTAGAAAATTTTCGCATTTCTGGACATTATGTGGTCTCACTTGCCAAGATTGCAATTTAAAATGTTTGAAAAATCGAGATCACGCAGATGGTCAACATGATTGTTTGACGGATCATGAATGTCATGCGCATTGTCAATTTTTAGAGTCTCATTTAAATGGATTAATTCCACAATGTAGTTACAAAGCTGCGCATTCTGGAAAACATGCTTGTGATAAAGTAAGGATTATTTTGTTAGAAATCATCAAATAATTAAAATAATTAACATAACTAAATACAAATTTCTAGGCTGACCATTTGTGTGGAGAGCCTTGCAAGCTTAGTTCTAAACGAAATTGTCAAAAGAAATGTTCAAAGGATATTGGACATGAAGATGGAATTCATCTTTGCCAAGCAAATCGTATGTTTTACTAGTAATTACAGTGAACCCTCTATAAATGCGCCCCCCCCCCCGGGAATCAACATTAGGGTGCGTTTATAGAGGGAATGCATTTATAGAGAGAAATTTTATAAGTGTTATTAGTAGATGGGACTGGAGTATAGGGTACATTTATAGAGGGTTCACTGTATAATATGATTATGATTAATAATAAATAAATAATTAATTAATAATAAATTAATAATAATTAATAATAACTTAATAATAATTAATAATAACTTAATGATAATTTAACAATTCAAAGGTCATTATTGCGGAGAACCTTGTTCTTTAATAACTAATACTCAAAGGGGAGATTACAAATGTCCAAACCAGTGTATCATTCCGTGTGAAGATGAACATGACGCTCATCGTCAGTATTTCTTATCATTTTATTTTCTCTACTTTATATTATTTAATTTACAATATTCACAATGTTTCTTATTTATTAGATTGTGAAAATGACAGTGCATGTCCTATTCAATGTCCTATCCCTGACTGTCCAAGACGTTGTGAATCTAATGATCATTTTCATGCTTTTTCCGAACTTTTGGTGAATCATTTTTGTGGGCAAGTAAATTATAATTTCGCGAAATTTAAAAATTATGTTATTATTATAAATTGATAAACAATATATTTATTAACTTTTCTTATGATAATTTTTAGGCAAGAACATCAATGTCAAAAAGATTGTGAAGAACCTGGAGTATGTAAAGTTCTAGTCGAACCTAAGAAGCAAGAAGATGCTTACCAAGGCTTGGTATCAACATTTACATTTATAAGGGTAATTATTCTTCATTTGAAAAAAATTTTTTTTTTCGTTTCATAAAATATAACGGTCGGTTGCTTTTATAGCATACCCAAGTTAGTGAAAGATTGAAATGCAAAATAAAAATCCCGCCAAATTCGTTCGAGCACGCAGGAAAACATTCTCATGATGAAAATACGAGTGTGCATTGTTGCGATGTACAGGTTAGTATAGTAATAATTGATTTTTATAATAATTTATTTATTTATCTAACGCATCAATTTGTTTGATAGTGTAAATTCTGCGAATATTATGTAAGTATTGTCTTTTCCTTGAAAATTTTTTTATTCTGTAACCGAATTTAGTAACGAAAATTTTTTTTGAAACTTTAGTGTACGTTACCATACGGTCATACGCAACCATTGCACGAAACGTCACATGGAAATATGATCCAAACTGTATTTACTTCAAACGATGATAAAGAATTTGAATATGGTGGTCATAAATTGAAGTCGGGAGATCAGGGTACATTTGTTATGTGTAATCTGGTAGGATTATTTAACTTCTTCAAATAATATTTTATTATGAAGTTTTTCTTATACTCTTTTGTTACTCTTATTAGCACTGTAAAGATGCAGGCCGTCATAGACATATTGATTATTGTAAAAACGGGAATAATTGTAAAAATACAAAGAATTTGCAACATATTCAGGGTAAAGTCAATTACTTACACATATTATTATGTAAATACACGAATATTTAATTTCAAATAATTCAAATTCAATTGTCATTTCATTTCTCGATAATAGGTAAAATTAATCCTGATCCCGATCAACCCAAGGATTACATTTCTCATCGTTTATTCTGGGAACGTACAGGATTCAAAGGTATATCTTTGGTAAAGATTAATTATTATATTCATTTAACCAAATTATTTATTTATTATTTTTTATTATTTTTAAATTTATAGAACCTTATTCTGCTCAAGAACAAGCAGAATTTACTAAATGTGATCACGAATGTAACGATAAAAAACATAGAGACCCAGATTCATCTGGTGTACCTCCCTCTAAATCTTATTGTCAATTAGAAATTTTCCATGATCCAGTGGATTCTTCAGCACCCCCTCCAGGAAATTATGGTTATGTCTCATTGGATGGACATCATTTTAATTGCGATAATCCTGTCACAAGAGAAGCAACGTTTCATATTGTTTTAGTTTTGGATCGATCTTCATCGATGAGTTATTCAGATAAAAAACCAATAAAAGGCGCTAATCTGCCTGATCCTGTTTATCAAAATTTGGTTCAAAAACATAATAATAGGACTGGTGCAGTCTATTCTGCGGTAAATATAACCTAATATTTTATATGATTTTTTTTTTTGATTTCATTAATTATATTGATTTTTTTTTTTTTGATTTTTTTTTTGATTTTTTTTTAGGTTTATTCGTTTTTAGAAACACGAATTAGTACTGTTAAAAACAACACTCCGTCAAATGTTGCCGCTCCTCCTAAAGACATAGTTTCTTTGATACTTTTTGATAGTAGTTCCGAAATTATAGTTGAAAACCAAAAATTGGATAATTCTAATTACTTTATGCAAGAAATGCTTAAACATGGACCGAGAGGTGGGACGAATTTTGATATGGCTATTCAAAAGGCTGGAGTAGTTATCGATAGACATTTTGATCCTTTAAAGTTAGTACACCTTTTATTTATGTATTACTTTCATTCTTATAAATATGTTATATAACATTCAATTAATTCTTTATATTGTATTGAAATCTTCAGGACAAATATTATTATTTTCTGTTCTGATGGAGAATGTGGTGTTCCCGAAAATCAATTAAAGCAAATTTGTTCGAGAAATAAACAAAAAGGGTAAGTTTCTTTTTGCTAATTTTATTAATATATTTTTTTTTGAAATAACTTACACTTTTATTACTTTTCTATTTGTTTTTGTTAGATCACCACTTTATCTTTACACAATTTTATTCGGTACCGACGCATGTAGCACTTCTTTAGAAAGAATGAAAGACATTGCTAAATCTTATCATCCAGCAGCCTCATCAGGTTCATTAAAATGCCAATTCTCTAAAATAATGACTGAAGTAAATTTGGTTAATCATTTGACGGGAGTTGCAGAAAGTCTAAGACGACATAAACCAGCATTGTTAAAGAAAAATGTTTAAAAAATTTTATGAATATTCGTTATTTGTAGATATTATTATTTTTTAGTAATTAGTAACTCTTTTATAATAAGAATTATTTGCAGATAATTATTTTTTTTTAGTAATTAAAATAAAGATGTAAATTTTTAGTCTTGAAATATTCCTAATATGTTTATTTTTATATGCATTGTTTGAACGCGTAACACAAATAGTTTCACGTTTTAAGCGTTTCAACTTGAACATTTTGTATAATAACAAAAATGTGATCACGACGAAAGATTCGAACCTGCTATTCTTCAATAAATTTATTTGTTCATCACTGTATATACATTAATTAAACATGAATTTTTTTTTCTTGTATACGCTTCTAACATCACAACAAAAACCTATCATTTTTTTTTTAAAAAAAAAATAATTTATCGCTTTGTATATTTTTAAATCTCATCTATCAAACTTGTATCACAGTTCTTTATTATTTTATCATACGATTTTCTCATCTATCACAAAGTGAAAAGGAGTGAACGAGGAGAAGGTGAGATTTTATGTAATAATAAATTTGTTAAATATTGCATGTATATCCTACCTCTTCTTCATAAAGTAATCCATTATCAAGAAACTTGCAAAATAAAATTGCTGTTTCACACCATTTCTTTGAATTAATAAAATCATTAGCTCTAAAATTTCCATGTGAAAATATGAATTATTTCACGCACGCTTGTAATAATAATGAATTAATATTTTTCTGTAATTCTGTTGTAAAAATAACTTACGAATAATAATCAATTCCACTATTCCATGCATTTACCATTAACCATTGAATTTCTTCTTCAGGATATTTTCCCTAATAATATTGTTTTTGTTAAAATTAAATGAACGATTATAGGAAAAAAAACAATTATAATAAATTATAAATAATGCATACGATAATTACCTTTGAACATTCTTGACTTAAAATATCTAATGCCTGATCGAAATATTGTGATGCCATAGATTTATTTTTAATCATGACAGTTATTATTAACAATCGAAACCATCTCGAGAATTGTTCAAAATCTACTTGTTTACGTTTCATTATTGAATTTAATAGAATCTATAAAATAGAAGAAATCATTAATATCATATAAAATTATTATGTATATATATATACATGAAATTTTTAATAAAGTTTACCTGTATCGTTGAAAATATAACTAAATAACAATAAATATGAATAATAGAATAATATGTCAAAATACTAAAGAGAACAAATAAATATTCATATATTTATTTATTTTTACCTGTACTTGGACATTCGTTTTCATTAATTAATAATTCTGCCATACGTTCAAATATTTTTGACGGTACTTCAAAATCATATGCTTCAGCTGCCTGAAATAAATATTTTCAAGTATTAATATTACATATAACAATATATAAACGAATATATATATATATATTACATCAAGAACTTTTAATAATTCGTCCCAAAGACCCAATTTAACTTTTGCTTCAAATTCGAATAAAATCATTAATATCATATCACTTTGTGTCGTCGAACTTTGATTTTCAAGAATATTATCATCATCTCGTTTTCGTTTGCCCAAGACTTTTTTCAATTTCTTATAATTATTAACATTATCTAAAACTTGTTGTAATATGTCTCTCTATAATTATCATTTATTGTACATTTACTTTGGTGAATTTTTATTGACAACATTTTTTTTATGATAGAAGATAAAAGAAGATAGATGGTGATAGATGATGATACCTTTTGAAGTATTGATTCTTGTTCCCGAGAAAGGAATAATTTTCCACATAAAGAAGCAAAAAGGCATAACTTTTTTCTATTAATATTTTCTATTGTTTCTTCAGGATAATTACCAAGAAACTGTGTATATATGTATATATATGCGTGTGTGCGTATATGACGAATACACGCACCGCCCGTTAAGAAAAAGAAAAAAAAACACCACGCAACACGATTAAGAAAATTTTAGAAAAATTTTTTTCATTACAAATAAATTTGAATAATCGTTCTATAATTGATCTTTCTATACCTTGTAAGCAACATCAAATAATCGAATAGCTAATAAGTCACTACCTCCTTCTTCATGTTGACAAAATTCTAGAGCTATATTCCATGCTTATTTTTTTAAATTTAATTTAAACAAAAATATTTTGATCGATATATAATTTATAAATTAAAAAGTATTATCTCTTATATGAATAAAGTTCACTCACCCATCTTGAAAAACCATTCAAGATCTTTCAAAGATATTTTATTATTTTTCTTTACGTGACCTTCGTTTTCATAATGAACAATGGTATTTTCACCATATGATTCGATTAAATTCGATGCTAAAATTTTTAAATAATACTAATTTTTAATATCATATATAATTTTAAACAATTAATTTGTGAAAAAATACGAATTTACCAAGTTCAAAATATCCACATATACAATCCATAAGCGAGGTTCTAAAATGATAAATTTAATAATTATTACGCACGTAAATTCAAAATAATAAAATTTTAGTTACAAACCTTTCTGTTGATTCATTTTTAGAAAGCGAACTATTAGTCATTCGTATTAAACATCTAGATAGAGAATAATTTTTAAAATAACTTTTAAATAATAACTTTTAAAATATCATCATCATTATTATAATACAAAATATAATATTTATTAATACCTAAGTAAAATAAATATATCAACGTGAGCCATATCGTCACCATTTCTATGTTTAGTTAAAATTTCCTTTAATGCTTCAATGAGAATTATCTTTTGACCTTTTCGATAAGCTTCATTAGCGACCATTGCAAGCATACTTCCATGAAATCCTTCTCCATTACACGTTTCGTGTAAATGTTGAATTGCTGAATTATAGAATTACACGTAAAAAAAATATTGGTAAAAAATTATATGTAAAATATACAATATGCATTAAATTTATAGATATTAAACCTTGTTCAATCTGTCGTCTTTCAATTGCGATGTGAAATAATACATAAAAATTTGCAGCAGAATTTGATTCATGTGTTTGAGCTTGATGAATAGCTTCAATTGCATCTGCAAGTAAATGTTCTTCAAGATAACATAGTGCAATTTTTCTAAACGAATAATTAATAATAATAAATAATAATAATAAATAATAATAATAAATAATAAATAATAATAATAATAAATAATAATAAATAATAAATAATTATAAATAATAAATAATAATAAATAGTAATAATAAATAATAATGATAAATTATTATTATAATGCACGATTCTGTGAACGAGAATATAAAATTTTATTACCTTTGTAAAATTGCAGCATTATGGCCATCGACTTGACCTGAAGCCATCCATTTATACGCTAACAAAAACCATTTTCTTGCGAGACCATATTTTAAATTCTATTAAGTGTTATTATGTTATGTAGTGCATTATATTATTATATGTTGCTATTATACGTTACGAGTATCGAAATATAAATAGATCATTCATCTTACTATATAATTTTGGTCTCCATTTTGCCAAAGTATCTAAAAGTCGATAAATTAAAGATAAGAGAAAGGGAGAGAAAGAAGATAGAATTAAAAGTATATATAATATAAATAAATATATATATATATATGTGTACCAGCTGGCAAGCCATCTTTGTCTTATGTCCAATTAAGATTCCGTATCGTTGTTCAACTTTAAAATAAAAATTAGCATTACATATTTCAATATTCTCATTAATAATAATATTAATAATAATAAAGGGTATAATAATAAAACATACATCCCAACGTTACTTCAATACTTCTTATAGCATCATTTAATTCAAAATTTCCTGATGATTCAATATTAACCAAGATATGAAATTTCGTGACAATCGCCTTTTCTATATAATCGATATTTCTTATGTCCGAAAGTTTTTCTTCTATTAAAATATCCATCCCTCTAAGTGCCATCATCACACTACAAATAAAAATATAGATATTATTTTCTTTATTATTATCTTTATTATTATCTTTTATTGTTATCTTTTTGAATAAAATGAATAATTTCTCATTTTTCTTACTCTATATCACCCGCTACGTGAGCGACATTTAACAACCTAATCAAGTTCAAGTTTTTATATATATAATTTTTAATAATTAATATAAGAATAATATAATTTATTATTTTAAAAATAGAAGTTTCTAGATACCCACTCACACTTTCAAATTCTCTTTTGTAATTTGAGCTGTTCGCATTAATTTTATATACACTTTTGAATATCATGAATAATTTTAATTTTTATTATTTCTTATTTCTTAATTCTTAATAATAAATAATAATAATGATATTATTATTATTATTATTATTTTCAACAAACCTTACCTTCTTCAAATTGTATTTTATTTATATTTCTTTGTTTCATTATCTTGAGTTTTATTGAACATGCTAATACATCAACTGGATTTTCCTAATAATCAATTAAATCATTCTTCATTCATTCTTTTCTTTCTTTCTTTCTTTCTTTCTTTCTTTCTTTAAAAATTGAAACAATAATGTAATATATAAAAATAATACCTCTAAACATAGATTTATGACATTTTCTGCGAGTTCAATATTAGATTCATCGTGAGTAGAATTCTTTAAATAACATGTGGCTTTTATTATTATTATTTTTTTATAATAAGTAAAAATTTTATTTAGTGATATTCTTTTTAAATAATATCTTTTTTGTAATAATAAATAATACTAATGTTATTATCATTATTATACCTAAAGTATTTAACGTGATTGTCTAATTTTTTAATTTTAATAAAAATTATTTTTAATATTTAATAATATTATTTTATTTTATTATTGATATCATCATCATAAAAAGAGAATGGAATGAAAAGAAGATGAATTGTTAAAATAAAATGTAAAGATGAAAATTGTAAAATAAAATGAATGAATTAATGAAACAGATACCAGAAATTTAGTTCGATTAGGATTAGTATCATTATTATTATTCATTTGTCGAGAAGACATCCTTTCAAATATTAATTCATGACATATTCTTAACCACTTTATTGCATCATTAATTTTTCCTTCTCGTAAAGCCAGATTACCGATCGTATAACACACTTGACACAAAATTTCAATCTTAAAATAATATTATTAAAGAATATTAAATAAATGTTAAATAATTATTAATTACAAAGCAAAATCATCTCTCATTATAAAAAGAAGAAAACATATGTTATATTACTTCTCTGGTCGCAACATGATCCAAATATTTTCGATCTTAAAGAAAAATGTTAATCAAGGTTATATTTTATATATATATATGTATAAATAGTAAATTCATATACCAGTTGCATGTTGAATCATTAAATTTGCTACATGACTATTTTCCAATTTCCACGCCTAAATATTAATAAAAATAAATAAAAATAAATAAAAATAAATAAAAAATAAATAAAAAATAAAATAAAAATAAATAAAAAATAAAATAAAAATAAATAAAAAATAAAATAAAAAAAATAAAATAAAAGATAAATAAAATATTTTATTTAATCCATAATAATACTGTGGTTATAATAATGCTCACAGCTTCCGCACGATACGCGTAATATAGAATCAAGGCAGTTGATTTTGAATTTTGATCTTTGGCAGAATTATTATTATTCTTATTATTATAATCATTCTTATAATCATTCTTATAATTATTTTTATTATCAGAAGAAAAAGAAGAAAGTATTGAATCTTCAAGCTAAAATTGATATTATTAAAATATTTATAATAATTCATTAATTTCTTATTAACAACAAATTATATTATTATATAGATATTGCCTATAAAAAAATACCGAAGTAATTGATCGCAAAATTTCATCAGCTTTATCACTTCTTCCACAATCTAACCATGCCTTACCAACTTTATTAACTAATATAAGTAATTTTACTGCAGCTGTAGAGAAAAAAAACATTTTTAATAATAATAATAAAAAAAAAAGAAGAAAATCCGATTGCCTAAAATTAATTTATTAATTTATTGTACTTTTTGATTCAGTAACGGAATTCGCTCCAGCTCCAGCTTGGATCATATAAAATCCTGTTTGTCGAACTTTCAAATATAAATTCATTACTTTTAAACATTTTCTCCTAATTTCTTTTATTCAACAAAAAAAAAAATTTAACTTACGTGATGCTATTAATTCATTATAAGTTGTCATTCCATTAGATAAACAACTTGATCTTAATGCAATTGATGAATTCCATAAACCGACACCTAATAAATTATTATTATTATTTATTCACAACATTTTATATATTTTATATATATATATATTTATATTCAATAATAATAATGAAATTTATTCATATTTATTATAATTTATTATATATTTTTATTCACAATAATTTATTTATTATATTTTTATTGCAATAATAAGAATATTTTTTTACCCAATTCATCTATTTCATCAGCTAATTCATAATATTTTGCTGATTGTTGCAAATTCGAAAATTTTTCTACATCACGTTGTATTTCTTTTAGAGAATCTTGTATTCCTTTTGAATCTAATAAATCTTTATTTAACTTCTCATGAACATCTTTAATTAAAGCTATAATAATTATATAGTAATATGAATATAATAATAATAAAATAATAATAATAATATAATAATATAATAATAATATAATTAATATGGAATACCCGTGATAACTTCAAGATGTTTTCTTAATCTTGCAATAACAACTGTTTGTTCATTATTAATATTATTATCATTTCTGTTATTGATGTTATTATTATTTCTCCTTTGTAAAAAAAATGAAGATGGAAAGAAGGACGTATCGTTATTGTCTGACAATGAAGACGAAGACGACAAGTTTGACATTTTAAGAGGCAACCGAATTTTTTATTATCAAAAAAAAAAAAAAGAGTTTAAATATATGTTTAATATAATATAATATGATATAAGGTGATATAGTTTTAGTTTCAATAATAAAAGTATAATTTTTCATTTATTTTGAACTTGCAAAGTTAAAATTTCAATCGGAGAAATATTCTCATCAAGTGGTAACATTTTATTAGAAATATCATTTCCATCGTTAAAACCACCAAAACTATAAATATTAAATGTAATATAAGAAAATTTTCTTTATTATTGTTAGGGAGAGAGAGAGAGAGAATTCACATATTTTTGTATACTATAATCTATATTCATACTGTATATACATAATCTAAATTCATATTCTAAATACATAATCTAAATAAATTCATATTCTATATTCATATTCTAAATACATATTCTAGTAAAAGCAAGTTCTATAATAAGAATTTTCGTTCGAGACAAACTATATACATAACATAAAGTACATACATACATACATATAGTACATAATAATAATAATAATAATAAATAATTATATAATCATTAATTCTCTATTATTCATTCATAATTATTATTATAATTATTATTATTATTATTATTATTATTATTATATGATCCTTCAATAAGAATATGATACCACCGTTTTTCTTGAAATTGTTCAGAATTTTTGGTATCATTTCTGTTATTATTGATAGTATTCATCTCTATAATTTCATTGGAATTTGTGACGTTTAATGTCATATCATCATTTATAATCACCTCATTATTATTATTATTAGTATTATTATTAGTATTATTATTATTATTATTATTGTTGTTGTTATTATTATTCTCGTTATTATTATTATCATCATTATTATTATTCTTCTTCTTCTTCTTCTTCATCTTTTTCTTATTATTCTTATTATCATTACTATAATCACTTAATACGTCGTCAACATTTTTTCTCCACTTTTTTAATTCATTTTCATCATTATAATACAAAATCTCTTGATAAAGTTTAAATATTCCAAAAGGTATAAAACAAACTTCACCACTAGTAAATTTTGGTTTTACTTGATGAGATAATTTCAGATGAAATATTATCAATTTGGCTGATTTCTTAATAATTGGTTCAATTTCAATTTCATCTTCATTATTATTTAAATCTTTATTATAATTTGTATCAACAGTGATTTCATCATCATCAATATTATTTGATAATGATGCAAGTAATTGAGGTGAAGTTACGATAGTTGATGCATTTATAGAAAAATTTGAAGATAAAGTTGATATTCTTTCGGATTTTCTTTCGGTGGTTGATGATGATGAATAATAATAATTATTATTATCTATACTAAACGAATTTTGAGAAGTTCGAAATTTTGAATCTAGATTTAAATAATATGATGATGACGATGGTGATGATGGTGATGATGGTGATGATGATAATGATGGCGATTGTTGTGATGTTGATGCTTGAATATTATTAATATCATCATAATCATTATCGTTTTTCTTTATTCTTTTATCCTTCTTTATCTTCTTCTTTATTCTTTTACCCTTCTTTATTTTTTCAGCATTTTTATCAGTTTCATCATTAATAGGAATATCAAATATCAAAGGAACTAATCTTGCTTCAGAATACAATAAATCGTTATCAATAGTACGAATTAAATGATGTATTGACTGTGCCAAATCATATCGAAATCCATCTAAAAGATCAGTTGTATTATCATCATTAATATTACTACTACTATTATTACTATTATTATTATTATTGTTGTTATTATTATAATCCTCACTATTAGTGTGATTAAGATTGGTGTTACTTCCTGCTTCATCATCTCTTTCTCTTCCATAATAAACATTTAAAAGGGTTGAACCGAAAAATGTATGTCCAAATTGTGATAATAAATCTTCAACAGTTGTTCCAGATTTACGTTTAATATATTCTTTCTCGATTCTACCGATATTATTAATTGTAGGTAATTTGGAAATAGGAATTTGATGACGAAATTTTTCCATTACTAAAATTTGTTCTCCGTTAAAAATATTCATATTATCATCATCATCATCATCATCATCAATATTTCTTTTGTCATTAATAATATATTTATCATTTCTAGTAATAAATGCTCCAGTATAAACACAATTCGCTTCCAATTTTCGAGTTAATCCATTAACAGAATAAATAAACATTTTTTCTAAATAATCTTGCATCTGATTTGAAGAAATTCCAATACGATTGGCCATTTCAGGTGCAATTATTCGAGGTGAAATAAATTTGTACCCTAATTTATTAAAATTTTCGATAATTTTATTATTGTAGTTGTTATTATTATTATTATTATTATATGAACTATATGATCCGTTATTACGATTAAACTGATTAACAAGATGATCTTTATTATTATTATTGGTAATCCGTTTTACTAGAAATAACATTTGTCCTTTTCCAAAGTTGGTTGGAATTTCTTTATTATTATTATTATTATTATTATTATTATTATTATTATTATTATTATTATTATTATTATTATTATTATTATT